ATGGAGGCGGAGACTCTTCAACCAACCAGGAACATCTAGAACACACCAAGAGATAACGAAAAAAAATGCAATGTTACATTTCGGCTAATATTACCACAGCAGCTGTGGACTGTGCATGGTTTTGTGAGCACCGTTGGCTCAGTTCGGCGATGAATTCTGACCTTTCATGCCACTGCCATCCTCGTTGAAGGTGTTGCGAGCGGAGCCTTGGTCTTCAGTCTGCTCACTGCCAGAGGAGGCTACACTGCTCTGGGGTGAAAGGGGCGCGTGGTCTAGAATGTAGTTCTGCCGGCCCCCTATATCCTCATGGGTAACCCACTCAGAGCCACAAGCCTGGGGACTGGAAGGAATAACGGACATGGACTTCTTCAGAGGGCTGGGCTGCATCTGCCCACCCAGACCTGGGAATAGAAACAATTAATATATGAGAAACAATCAAAATTCTGATGAGAAAAATGAAGGAAATTATTACACTATAAAACATTTACAAAAATGGTACATACTGTTAGCACAACAGAGGGTGTCTATGGCTTAAAAACTGGTACAAAACTATTTCCTTGTGTGATTACCCAAATTGAAAAATAACAATGGCTAACATCACCTGTGTTATTGCTGTTTATGGGAGAGGACATCCCGCCCGGGAAAGGCATGTGTCCGTTCTGGCCTGCTGGAGATGTGCTGGATGAAGGGGACTGGTCGTGCCAGGCGTGGCCCGGGTCCAGAGACTCAGCAGAGCTGGGCCATTCATCTGAGCCCTGGCGAGGGTGGTAGGGGCTAGATGGGGGCCGGGGGGCATAGCCACTGGATAGGTGCTCCTCCAGGTGGTTTAGCCACATGGCCAGAGTGGTGCGGTCATCCAGTGTGGTGGCAGGGTGGATGAGCGCGTAGGACAGCAGCTGCCGGCTTTCTTCCACAAACAGGCTACTCTCAATAGTGTGACTTAACACCTTCTGCAGCAGCTTCATGTACTCACACTTGGCCTCGCTGTTGCGTGGCTGCAGCAGAGGCAGATGGGACAGCAGCAAGGACACAACCTTCTCTTTTGGCTCCTGATGCCACTGGCTGACAATTGCTATTTACAAAAGGGCATACAGAGATTCACCAGCAATTAATATTTTAGTACTGGTTCAATATAGGCATTTTTCCATTTAAGAAGAAGAAACTTCTAATAATGCTTCATCAACAGAGATAATTAAATGTATATAACAAAACACTCATAATAATAAACTCTCATATACCTGCATTGTTGGCCTCAGCTTCTAGGATGTGTATCTCTGTGCAGTCTGCCAGCCAGTGTTCAAGGCAGATGTGTAAGAAGCGAGCCTGGGTGCGCGACACCCTCTTCAGGAGGGACAACAGTGCCACCGTCTGTTCACACTCATTCCAGCCCTTGAACCAATCTGTGAGGATACCTACCTGATCTCGGAACATCATGGCGTGTCTCCCTGGTCGGGCGAACAGTAACGTGTGGCTGGGCAGGGGGATACTGGAAAGACTGCTCTCTTAGACGCAGACAGGATCAGTCCCACCCCGCACAGCGGGGTCGTATTTGCAACAGTCCTGGGATCCCCTCAGACTGGACCGAGGGGCCCTCACATGGTTCACGTGCAGAACGAACTGCAGACAGGTGGCAGTGTAGATTATTGGTAAGATATCCTAGGATGGAAGGCTTATAGTGTGTCAATCGTGGTTGGTAGTGCCACAAACAGGAAAAGCTTTGTTTTTCACTCTAGCATGTTCAGGATCACATCATCTGTGCCCTATTGAAATAAAAAAACAGAGAGAAACATTTCAGATGGCAATAAGCGCATTTTTCTAAATTAAATGAATAACCTTAACCAACCAAATATCTAGACATTATACACCCATTCAATCCAAATGTGATTACCTCTTTTTCTTTTTTATGTAAATCAATTCAGCATAACACCAACCCCACTTGTATATATACAAACAAGTGAACATGAGTCCTTTGACAAATAAAAAATAGTCTTGTTTGGGCCCATTTTTAGACCAAAAGCCGCAAAACAATATATATTTTCTTGAGTGATAGAACATCAGCCTTAGTGGGTGACAGACTGATTTTACAGTACGTAGGATAATATGACACACAACAACAATATAGGACACACATAATGCTTCAACCTGTTTATGATGAGCAAACAACTAATATTACTTAAAGTTTTAGAACGCTGTCATACAACATTGACTTATTCAAATCAGAATAGGAAATCTATCATAACACATCTCAGTTATAACTTTGACTGTAAGGGTGTTACTTGAGGTAAGCTTTTGGTAAACTACATCAATGCATATAGATTCGATCCTGATAACAAAGCTCGAGTCATATGAAAATATAAGTCATTCACAAAAGCTGTTTGCACAGTAAAGGCCGTTACCAGAGTCATGCTTAAGGCAACACCAAAATGGGCTGCTTTCAAAAGAATGATGTGGTGACAACCACTTGTGCCTTTTATTTACAACAGCTTTATAGAATTCACTATATGCTAACCAGCAATGGTATGCTAACGTTACATGCCAAAACTATATACTCAAAACACTTCTAAATGCAGCACCTGTAACATAATGTGCTAAAATGGTGATTAAAGAACAAACATAAGGGCCTGTATATTAGGTTCAGCGGACTGTTGTTATCATTATATCTGCGAAGTTTATTGAGTTGAAACAGGCTAATATTACACCCGGCAGCCTAGCATTAGCAGTTAGCCAGATTTAGCTTAGTGCAGTGATGTTACCCTCGAGTCACACAACACATCACGGCGTTCAGACCTTTTTATAGCAGAAGTAATGTTAAATATGTCGGTGTCTCGCTTTACCACGCCAAAAATCACGTGACCACCCAAAAAGAGGCCTCGTAAAGTCAAACTCGTATCAGAGAGCTGTCGCGCTAGTTTTAACGTCGGGATGAGTTGCTTTAGTATTTAACAGTAAATGTGACATGTTTTGTATCATTAATGTAACCAAACAAAATATATATAATAAAAACAGAAAAATCCTTAAACCAGCTAACAGTTTTGTATCATGATCTCAAATGTATTGGATTTAATCCATTCATACAAATGCAATACAAAGGGCTTGTCCAGCAGGTGTCGCCATTTTGACTAATAAAAGCTTCGAAACAGTAAACCTTTTTCAACACACAATTGCTATAGTTATTCAATGCTACAAAAATCTTCTTTTCACACGTCATAAACTTGGTTAACTAAGCCAGCGTTAAGGGATTCAATCGTTGTATTGTTTATTCTCGTTAAAGCTATTGCTGCCCATTTTCTCCGTATCGTAGCGTTACTTCTGTTTAGCGGTGCAAACAGGGACATTAGGACGCAGTTTTATTCGTCAGCATGTTGCAGCTAGTTAACTCGCTAAAGTTGTTTGAGTTATGATAATCCATAAACAGACTCAAAAGGTGTGTTGTTTACCTTTGTCAGTTGTCACTGGTTGGCGAGCTAGGCTAAAGTGCTAATGCATAGCTAGCTCGACGGTAGGGTAGGGATAGCTAAGAGCTAGCGCTAGCTTCTTAGCTAGCAAGTTTTGCTATTAGATGCAATAATGTTAGCTTAGCTGAAAGAGGCGAAGATTTCGATCCCATTCGAGGTATCCCTTAAGGATATTCCTTTACAGCGGCAAGCTCCCGGGGTTTCAAACAGGCCATGTTAAAGAATGTATGTACAAAAGGTTTATTGCAATGCAGAAAATTAAGAGTGTACGCCTGGAGAAATCTACTTCGATTTTGAGTTGACGCAAGACGTAAGTACAACGTCATACGTCTGGACGGTACGTAATGTTTTGTTCCGCCTACTGTCTGGTAAATAAAGAGCTCCTACCCTGACATATAAACAAAACATAAAGCATAACTATGTTCCATGTTCATGACTCATGAGTTAGGTGAAATTAAGTAAACACATGTTTTTGTAAAAGTAGGCATGGTCAACGTATGTACATGTGCATGTGCATATCTATACCTCCTGGTAAGAAAGGTTTCATGTGAGGTTTCATGTGAGGTTCACTCTTCATTATAATTGTAATATCATTTCTATTATAATTTCCTGATAAGGAGATTGAACCCCAGACTCTTCAACTAACAGCAAACCCCTTGATAAATGCTTGATGGACTAATATGTGTGCCAGTTAGCTTGCTGCTGATCTACAAATTGGTAATTGACTGTTTTGACACCAGATTAAAAAACGTCATGTTTATTATGTCGGGGAAATTAAAGGAGTGAACGAGGGACTCGTTTTGGACATTACTGCAGCTAACTAGACAAGATCATTTTAGGAATTAGGATAAAGATACATTTATCCATTAAGTAGATGTTGAGGATGCATCAACAGCAACTATATCAAGGAAACTGCTGTCTCATTAGTCTGAATGGGTTAGAATCAAATGTCTTCTCGTCACATCATTTGTCACAGCAGGTGTTTGCCTTCAGCTGTCAGTAGCCTAGACACAGAACACACAGATGTGAATGGCACCTGCTGTGAGATTACTGACTGGGGTGTGACCAGAGCTGCAACATGAATAAAGTGTTCACCACTAGAGAGCAGTAACTACACCCAACCTTTATGGAGACGTTTTACTTTTCTACTACATACATCTATATATTTGTACTCTCATGTAAATGTATTGTATCGTGCTTTTGCGAAAGGATATGACAAAACTTTGTGCTATGCAAGTTTCTATTTGATGTCCACACTTCGATGGTAACTGGAAGTGAAAGTAACCCTAATCACATTGATGCTACGACATTAGTGACTCTGATAGACAACATATGGTGACATTTGACTTCCTTAACTTCAAACAGTATGGATCCATTAAACTACATTTCTTCTGTCAAAGTGAGATTTATAGGTTTTTTTATGCAAAGGATTTCCCTTCATGCATTACATATGCATTAAGAGACATTTAGACTGTTTTCTAGAACTCTCTGCTGATTGTGCACACTGGTTTCAACTATTGGTTTCAACTTGTGTTGTCAAAACAGGAAGCAGTGCTGATGCTTGCTCAAGCTGCATGTCTTGCCTCCCTTTGACATTAAGGAGGATCTTGACAGTCTGAGAGTAGCTGTCAGTTTGTCACAAGTTTGCCTTTTTCAACAAGCCCCTCTGAATACAGGAAGGCAGGAAAGAATCCTCTGAGAATGGTAGGTTAAACTGATGCAATTGTTTGAAAGATTTTGCCTTTCTGTTTAAATCCACTCGATATGATGAGATGTCATTCATACGTCCTAGTGTTTATATATTTTTTACTTAACATTGCGACAGAAGTCGACCATTCCCTGCTCGGTTTCACACAGGAAGCTTCATTCTTGCATGTTGCAGTCAAAACATTTCCTGCCCTCAATATGTCAGAACAGTGTTATAAATGTTTAATGCATACATGAAGAGAGGATAGGCGCCTCAACATCTGAACAGAACCGAGCATATGTCTCTTAACATTTGTGTTTCTATTTCCGGCCTGTAGACCAATCCACATAACTTTATCAGCACGGAAGACATTTTAATATTTCTTAGAATGACACATTGAGTCTTTTTGTATGCCACTTTGCAGTCGAGCTCACTGGTTGTGTGTGAAGTGGATGAAAGTCTGAAAGAAAAACTGAAAAAGTTAAGATTTCGAAAAGAGACCAGCAATGCTGCCATACTGAGTAAGTATCAAATACCAATACTGAATGTTTTAGTACTTAGAATATTTCTATTTGTAAAATGATCAACACAAGTTGAAATCGAATACGAATATCAGTGCATTAACTAACATACAAAATTAACCGAAAGCCTAAATAATCGTTTGAATTTTTTTTAAGTGAAAATAGACATGGTGAAACAGCATGTTATCCTTGAAGAGGAATATGAGGCAAGTCCAATGTTCTTTCATTTGTTTAATGGGTTGTACATTTTTCTTTAAAAGGTAACTTAAACTTAACTTTTTATTTTAGGACATCTCGCTGGAAGACTTGAGAAATGAACTTCCAGAGCGGCAACCCAGATATCCTTTTTATCCGACTCAAATCCTTAACTTGACACAAGGTATATCAGCTTCAACTCTGAAAAGTTTTAAAACCCTTAACAGTACTGCACATTCATCGTCTACAGCTACAAATATGTCCATGCTGATGGGAGGGTGTCTTACCCTCTGTGTTTCATCTTCTCTAGTCCAATGGGTAAGTAATCACAGTATCTTGATCTAAAGTGATGTAAAGGTAGCATTTGTTTGTTAAAGAATGTTTGATGAATCCCTATGGGAACATTTTAATCATTTGAACAGGATGTAAGCCAGAGCAACAGATGATGTATGCAGGCAGCAAGAATCGACTGGTCCAAGTTGCAGAGCTGACAAAGGTGATTATCTCTAAAGTATGACACGTACTTTACCAACTCCAGTGGTATACTGAGCAATACATTGAAATGGGACAATTATTTTATATCGACAAAACCTTAATTACTTTTAAGATGAGGTACTGGTACGGTTTTAATCAGAATATTTATACTTTTAAAATGTGTCATTTGTTTATGTTACGATACCTGCACATTAATTTACATTAATGTGTCTTTCTCTGTTTTTCTTTGTGGAGGTCTTTGAAACAAGAAATGCTGATGACTTGACAGAAGAATGGCTGAAGAACCAGCTGTCATTTTTTAACTAAATTTGGATCTCCAATACTTTTTTTTTTTGTTGAAACCTGACCAATGCCCATGGATTTCAATTATTTATTGTCATGCATGGATATCAATCTTTTTAGACATGAACAATGCCCTCTTTTTCCCAATACTCTGAATAAAGCATCAAGTAAACTGATCACATTTTAAATTTTTTCTTGAACCGAAAATAATTACCGTCCTTCTTAAAGCCGATTGTAAAATACTTTATTTACATGCAAGTGGTTCCCCAGATTGAATAAAGGACAAAAACAAACTTTGACCACCGCTTCTTACAAAAAAAATCCACCTGTATTTTATTATCTGCTTCGAAGCCGTAACACAATGACAAGTCAAAAACAGAGAGAACAAAGACATTTTTACATGATCCTTTAAGAATACGGTGTACAAATGGCTACAGGTGTGTGATTTAAATCTACAATTAAAAAGGTGTTTGGAAAGAGATGTTTAATATTTGCAATATAGAAGCTACATCCCCAGACTGCGCTAATGTTATGGTCAGTGGCCGATGTTTTGGAGATGAACATACAGGCAAGAAAGGTGGCCGTCACCTTGCTGTCCTGATCACAGATCTCATTCACTGTCACTGGCGTCACTGGAGTCTGAGGCTCTCTCACTGCCACTCCCGCTCTGAGCCCGGGTCTCCGAGTGGTCGCTGCTGCGGTCGCTGTGTGCTGGAGAGGCGCTGCGGCTCCTGCTGCCTCCTCTGTTCGCTCCTTCATCCTCACTGCCGCTTCCCTCCGCCGCGCTGCTCCTGGCTGAGGTCTTGTTCTCCTCTTCGTTGTCTTCACTGTCATCGTCACTGCCGAAGATCTCTTCCTCATCTCGCATTTCTCTGGTCCTCTCCCCGCCGCTCTCGCTCCCACTGCCGCTTGTCGTCCTCTTACGTTTCTCTTTGCCCTGTTCCTCCACGTTTTCCTCTGGTTTTTGTTCCGGTATTTCCTCCTCCCGCTCAGAGTCACTGCCAGAGTTCTCTGCCTCACTGCCACTGCCCTTCTCTTTCTCATCACCTGTAGGAAGCAGTTTAAATATCACAGATATAAATAGAAGTCATGTCGTCAATCCAGAAGACGAACAATGTAGCTGACAAACCGCTACTACAGTGCAGCAGGGAGCCAGATAAATAAAAAGTAATGAGATACACACTGGTAGATCAAAAGCAAACTGACCAGAGTCCTGCATGTCCTTAAGCAAGTCCAGGTCTTCCTCTTCATCTTCTGGCTCATGGTTCTCCAGCTGAGCTTTACGTGCATCCTGAAAATCAAGATAAAACTGAATCAGTCACAAGTAAACTACTATTGTCCAAGACTCCAGGTTTACACTGCTATAACAGTTTCAGCCATTAGATTAGCTGAGTCATGTTGGGGCGGATGGTTAAAAACAAAAGAAATGCCAACATGTATTACATGCCAAATAATCTAATATGGTTTAAACAAACTACCTTACTATTGAAACTACTTTGTTTAGTTAATGTTGAATAACCAACTGAATGTAAATCAGTATTACATGTCTAATCCATGATAAACATGATTTCTTAGCTTTTTTTTAAATAGATATGAAGGTAGTAAAACAAAGTTAGCTTTACTTAAAGACAAAAAATATGATTTATTTACTCATTTTAATTTTAAGTTAACGAGGTACTGACTAAATAAGGAACAAGTACCTTAAAGAAAAAAAATATATTTGAATTTATCGAAAAAATATTAAATCATAACCGATCTGTGTTCTTCTTGTGTTTATTCTTTAAATATGCCCTAAACTAATTAGAGGCCTTTAAACTACATTCTTTGCTCAATGCAAAGAATGTAGCAAGTATAACTCAATTGTTGACCAGTTTGACTAGGAAAGACTCAAAGAGCCAGAGCATTCATCTGGAATTCTCCTACTTTACAACTGTGAGCACCCCATATCCTTTACAGTAAAAAAATTAAACTTTTAGTCCAAGTCAGAAAAACAACAACAATTGGAAAGTAAAAAGTACACCCACCTGGGCTTCAAGTTCCTTCTCGTTCATGTCTCTGTGCTTACACACCAGCACAGCGTTTGTGGTTGACTGCGCTCCAGCCTTGGCTCTCCTCTTGCTCAGACGCACTCTGCAGCACAGAAAAAAGGCTGTCAGAGGACAAGGTCCAACAGTTTCCCATGAAAGCCCCAAATATCATGGTGATGGTGCGGTTTGTTTTGTGCGTTACCAATATACACTAAACTTTCTAAGGGAGAACAATCCACACTTAAGCTTGATCTAATCACACCAGCTGAAATGATTCCTCTTAAAAGCAAACATCACTTTTTACATTCTTAGATGGATCAAGAAACAAGCTATTTTCTGATCAATTAGTTACCTTGTCTCAAGTTCATTGTAGTAAACACCATCTCCATCTCTGAAGATGAAGAAGTAGTTCTCTTCATAGCCCTTGCTGGCTTTGTTCTTGACATTCCAGTTGTACTCCCTGGCTATCTTGTAATCATACCTGAAACACAGAGAATAAAATACATTATTACTCCCTGGTATACAAGCAAAGCAACAAGGTGATTTTTAAATGACTTTCTTAATGCAATATTTCTACATACAGATCCTCAGGCATATAATCCATGCCCTCATCGCAATCCCTCTTGCGCTTGCGGATTGTTTCTTCATTGGGCAGGAAGTAGGCCACAAACTGATTGCCTTCCTCGTCCATCATACCCCTGTATTGAACAGATGTGAAAAATAAGTTAGTGTTTATACAAAAATGTTATTGTTTAAACGCACATGTATGCAACACATATTCTGTAGAGACCTGATCATAGCCTGTGACATCCTTTCCACTCCTTGCGGTGCCAACAAGTCTTTAGGCGCAGGATCAGAGTCGAAGATGACCTGAGCACATGGGTTGATCCACATCTGGGGAAAGAGAAACAAGTGTACAAAATGTTGTTTTTTTTTTTTTCATACTGCACTTCTCAACACAAATCATACACAGAGAAACTGAGTCAATTCAATAAACATAGGGAAATTATAGCTCACCTTGAAGTCGGGGAACACAGGCATTACTTCCACGGGAGTAACTCTGGGTTTACTGTAGTGCTGTGCAATCTGAAGAGTAATAACAACACGTTTAAAAAAGAGCAATAACTAGGAGAAAACTACAACAACTAATGCCCATTTTACCCCTGAAGTTGCTTGAATTTAAGAGCAGTTTACAGCCATAATTTGGGAAGGCTCGGTGTAGCCCGCTTACCGATTTCTGTGCATCCTCAAATGTTTTCTCAATAGCAGAAATCTGGCTATCTCTGTCCTTGTAGATTTCTTCTTCTGTAAACTGCTGTTTGACAGATACACCGATCCTTAAAACAAAAACACGCATGTCATACACACAAATCATCCACTATTTGGTAGTTTCAAAGTAAGCCTATTTAGCCAACTTACTTGACTTCCACTTTCTCATTAGAAACGCCATATCTGTTGAACTCTGTAGAAATATATTCTGTCTTTCTCATCCACGGCACCACTTTGGCGTGCTGCTGTGACCTAATAGGGAATAAGAAAACCATTTTAAATTAAAAAAATCTTCAAGCAAGTAAAAATAAAACATAGCTGCCTATTCAGCAGCCTTACCTCTTTGAACTGGCTGGAGCCTGGATGTCCTCTTCCAACAGTTTTTCATCAGCAGGATCCAACAGTACTGAAAATGTAAAATATTTGGTCAGTCTACAGCAGGGGTCGGCAACCCCTGGCACGCGTGCCAGCATTGGCACGCAGCACCGTAACCAGTGGCACACTAGGAATAAGTGTGCAAAATATTTAAATTGTATTTTCGGATCCTGAACAAGACCGCCGCCAGAGCACCTCTCCCCATTACCTGCAGAAGGAAGCCATGCACGCAGCGCAGCCCCGCTCTGTTTAACTCCAGGTGACTTTCTGCCGCTTTCCTCCGTGGTGCAGGGCTGATCGTTTCACCACAGAGGAAAGCACTTCACAAATTGCAGTAGCCTACCCATAAGGAGCTGTACAAATGCCACAGTTTTTGCGTGGCTGTATCTTTAGTTGAAAGCCCAGTGGCGATCTGCTCATCTTTCATTGAAATAATATGCTACAAAGGGGCGGACTGGCCATCTGTGTGTTGAACTTTCCTGTCGGCTCCCAGACCGTAGTCGAGGAGGGCAGAAGCAACAAGCTTCAGGTTCAATAACCCACTTTAGCTTAAATGACTGAAGAGAGGCGAGCTCTTCTTGGGAGGCCGTTGCATTTATTTAGTTGTTCTTCTGTTTCACAAAATACATCACAGACCTCTGTTTTTCTGCTGCCTCGTTTCACTTCCAGAAACATACACACGCTCGCTCACTCTCGCTCTACCATCCATGCACACGCCACACACACGCCACACCCCTCTCTCTCTCTCTCTCTCTCTCTCTCTCTTAAAGGGACAGCGATCTCATCTCACTCTGCATGACCCTAATATCATAACATGTGTGTTCTGGAGAATCATCACAGAATTCTATTTATATAGCACATTTAAAAACAACCTTCAGTTGACCAAAGTGCTGTACAGGCAATACATATTAAATAACACAATGAGAGTACAATAATAAAACAATAATTAAAAACATGATAAAAAACACATACAAATGTAAAAATGTAATGTTCAACTAGTATTAAAAGCCAGTGCAAAGAGGAGAGTTTTTAGCAAGTAAGTTGCGCTGACAGGTCCACACACTGCTTCCCCGCAGCGTTGGCACGCTGATAACAATTTTTTTTAATGGCACTTCATATCAAAAAGGTTGCCGACCCCTGGTCTACAGAGACGATAAAGCCCAGTTGTCTCTTGAAAAATGAAAATAATAAAAAGGAAGTGACATAAAAACAACAGGAGACTTACTACTTGGGTCTACGCGGTAAGTGTCTGGGTTGATGAGATCAATGGTGACCCCGAGGTCTGGTTCAGTCAGGAGTTCATGCTTGTGCTGCTTCTCTAGAGAGGTGGCTTTATACTGTACAAACCTGCAGAAACAGAAAAACAAATGTCAATCTGTGCCCTTGTTAATCAGTGCATAGTTCATGAATGAAGACGCTGAATGTTCACCTGTGCTGATCAAATGGATATGTGATGAATTTGGGGTCAAAGGGAATGTCCGGCAGGCTGTTGCAGTACTTCACTCGACAGACCACCCCTGACCTGTCATGGGCACAAAAGTATGGGATAAACACTTGTTAGGTAACCCAGACACAATTGCATTCACAAGTGCTACTTGTATAGGGAGAGACTGGAAAATAAATGCACCAAACTGTGCCTAATCTACTTACCTTTCTGGAACAGTTCTATGAGAGGATTGCCGACTGTAAGAGAAAACACATTTGTCAGACTATAATCTTATAAATAAAGTTCATTGATAATGTTCTACTCTTTTTGATGCCATCTTTGACTTTCTCTCTACATTCTGGTTGATGGATACATCATGCATGTTGTCCACATTTTCTAATTAGGAAATTATTGTGACATTCTTGTTCATAAAGTATGTACATTTTCAGTAACTTACTACTACTAATGTTAGGTAACCTCACACAGTATTTATTTATTTATTATTACTCGTGTTATACGGATTTACCGGTAGGCCTACAATCATTTTGTAATACACTGTGCAAATACTCTGCTATTAAAACTAGATTTACACTATACATTGAATCTAAAAATATTATCTAGTGACTAGATCATATTTTTTTAGTACATATTAAACTAAACTAGATTCTAGTCTGTACTAATCCTGCAGTTTAACACCCTAATCATAGGTCTACATTTGCATTATTATTTACATTTTGTTAGCCTATATATTTTTTTTGCTATGTTGCTATATAATTCAATATAATGCAGATTACATTTATACATTTCTTTATTTCTCATAAAAAAACAAGAAATTCTACGTTACTAATAGCATTAGAACTAGCTAAGCTTTATTAGCATAAACAACGTTTAACTATCACTAACATAATTTAAGCAAATTGAAATGCGTTTATATTAAATAACTTGGACTAACTCGATGTAATGTACCTATATGTTAGTGTTAGTATTCAATATTAAGGTTAGCGCGCCTAGTTAGCTTAGCAGGCAGGCTAGCATAAGTTAACTTGACACTAAGCTTGCTTGTTAGTTTAGCAAGCTAACTAGCATTGTTAGCTTATGTTGTACACAACAGAGCCACCTTATAATGTCCCGTCAACGTTTAAGAATGAACTCGATCACATTAACACTGCAGACAACAGCCAGTTTGAGAACCTTGTTAGATATTATTTCTTACCTGTGTCCGTCTTCTCGGGATTGGGACTGAATCGTCGGAGCCATTTTTTTTAACAAACTGCTCGAAACTATGAACAATTGTTTGCACAAATAATCAACAACTATATGGCAGATGATCCACGCTTAACGCAAAATCAACTTTAATCAGTATTTGTACGGCATGTTTTTATTTGTACCCAGCAGGATAGGATGTTTGACCCGGCGGTGATGTTTGATATTCACAGAGAGGGTTTGCTTTATGTGAGCGACCCCTGCTGTCCTGGCATGTAACGTATTTCGAAAGTACACTCAGAAAAAAACATGCCTTCAAAATACTTCCATTTATTTTACATATTGATACAAAAACAAATTGACATTCTTTGTCTGAGCTACAAAATAAAACCCAAATAATTTGCTGGTTTTGTTGAAAAGCAATGTGTTGGAAGACAAATAATCTTACAGGCTTGCAAATAATTGTATATTTTAAAGGTATCATTGAACTATTGCTTTAAGAGAGGATATTTGCCATTGTGTTCACTCGCTCCCATATTGTTTCTGGCAAAGAAATTACATATTGCGTCTTTCTGTCCAAAAAATAATTCAGGGCTCTCGGCCCCATCCTGTTATCTTCAACAGCATTTTGAGATTTTGCAGTTGCTATAAATATAGCTCAGTTATTATGTGTCCTCAGTATTGACAACAAGTCGTATATTGGAATAGAGATACACAATTGATCAAAATCAACAGATAAGGGCAACATGATGTTGTATTTCCCATATTTGAAATGCTTAAACCTTAAATAGTAGTTTTTCATAACCAGATTATTACTGTAAGAGAGCAAAATATAAATTCCTTGATCAAATAATGACATCTTTGTTATAGTTATTTTGTGTTCAGTTCATGGTTCCATCACCTCTGATATTCAAAGCTAGATTACTTATTTGTTGAAGGTTGTGACATCAAACATACACCCACACGCCTGACTATAACATTGATATAAACAACTCAGTACAGATTTACTGCAATTTGATATTCAAAATATATCTCACTGCAGACAGCAATAACTTGAGTTGCATGAAACAACATATGAATAAAACAGAATCTATGCCCAAGTCTCAAGACAAAATTAAAACAAAGACACACAATACGAGGTTTCTTTTTCTGCTACATTGATTTTGCTTGCCTATTAAAGTTCTGAAAGGGAACATAGAAGTTGTATTAATCATTCCCTATAAGTCTTAGTGGTAACTCTTCCCCACCAGTTACTTAGAGGGGGCCTACATATATTTATGTTAACAAGCGCTGTGCACAGCAGTTAGTCAGTGCAAAGGAGAAATAGCTACAGTTTTGTATGTGTTCTTCAGTTGTATCCATGCATTCTATTGAAAGTCCATTAGATGGACGTCTTCATCTTTGCCGGTCTGAGGTCTGCATCTCTGTCTGCATGTCGTTATCAGCTCTGTGAAGAGAGACAAGAGATTAAACCTTGCATTTAAATATGCATGGGTCCTATTTTTGTTTGTAATAATCTTAAAAAATGTTAAATGAAGTCCTTGCCTGCTAAACATGTTTATCATCTGTCCAGGATCATCTGCAAATACCCTGTAACATCAAAAGAATAGTTCTCTGAAAACATCATGTTAACTAAACCATGAACAGAACATGCAAAAATGATTCCATAATAGACATTGCAAATGAGGTCTTAAGTGTTTTTCCATCCATTGTTCAGTAGGGGCTTGAGGAGTCATAAAGTCTGCATTTGGGTCCTATGAAGAAAATAGAGTCATGGTTTTTAACTTTCAATGCATGTGATTCTACTGTTTATTCTCTCACTGTACTTATACATAAACAGACAAGTCACGTGTTGTGAACAAAGTGGCATCACAGTCACTGATGATCCTAGCTGGTTGACCTGTAACTTGATTAAGTTCTTCTTATGAATCAAGATGAAATGATTATTTACTCATGGCAAAAAGTTGTAACAGCTAGAATCATTTCAAAAAGTAAGGCTAAGGACAGGAATGAGACGATACAGGATTTTAGTTGTGGATTGCGCTTAAAACAATACATGTAAAACAATATTCTTGGTGAATTTCTAGTGGATTTGAATGATCATTTTAAAACATCACTCACATAATATTGCTTTATTTATGCAGATGGAACGTGTGATTTATGATTGCCTTATTTAAGATAGTCTTTCACTAAAAAGTATGTGCACTAATGTAATATTAAATGCAAGGCTATTTAATTCAAGTTTTTGCCATTTTAAGAGTTTTAAGAATATTTGAAAAAATAAAAGGAAGAATCCCAATTATCTTGGCCAGGATAATCTTGATGTTACATTTTTGCTAAAGTTGGAAATAACTCTGAAACTATCTATATATTAAATACATCTTAAGTGTGGAGTGACTATTTTTGCTTTTAAGTCTTATAATGAACAAACTATGATGAATAAATGACTAAGATAAAAAGGTAAACCACAGAAACACATTTCTTACCCATCTCCCCAGTAGTAAAAAGCCCGGTCTTGGTAGAACATAGACAGAAACAGCCAAACACCTATTGTCTCGACCCAGAAGATAACAAACAGGAACCATAACGATGACAGCAGGACTTCACACAACATCCTGGAGTTCTGTGAGGACAAACCGTAGAATTAAGTGATGTCTGCTGGAAGGACATCATTATGAGATTATAATCACAGCATACAGTACGTATACTGTGACTGTAACAAGTATTGTGTATTCATGTCTCCCATCAGAGAATTGTCCATACAGTTCCTAATGTATCATAACCTTTTCTTTATAATTGTATACATTCAAAAAATAAGTATATAATAATCAAGTGTTGCATTTATTGTGAATATGGCATTTCAAGATACACTATCAGTATTTTTTGCTAACATTACTCATTACAACATATGTATTAATAATAAGTATAATTGAATTTGTTGAACACCCAATTCAATGCTCCCAATATAGGTTTGTTGAACACATTTTGAATAGTATGTTGTTAAATACTGCTAGGTCGTTTATGGATAACTCAAACAACACAAACAAATGCATAATTGAATAGTATTAAAAGTATGACACTTTATTGAGTTTGCAAATCAATGTTTTTACTCTAGCATAAAAACACAAACAAAGTGGCTTCATCTGATGTTTGAGCAACATCATCAAGATGTAAATCATACTCAAAACATTAAGTTGCCAGTTAAGATACAATATAAGTAAGTCAGTGTCCTCACAGCTAACTTTAATGTCAAATCTTAGCTAACGTATGCAGTTGTAGAAAGCATAAGTAAGATGCTGGCTGACGGAATTGTCTTTGTCAACCGTTAATATTCATGTACAACGTTGTCTGTACACATCCTCGATGCATGTACTTAGCCTATGAGATTAGATATTTCAGGAGGCTAGCTGAAGTCCTGATACAAGTTACTGTACTAGCCATCTGGCTAGCTACTAGTTTCAAAACATCGTGTCTGTTTAGCTGGTTAAGCTAATGATCAGCTACAGTTTGACTTGACCAATTGCTGATGACTGCTTTTAAACGTGACTTTCTTACGTAAATAGCACAAGGTGACACGCTGGAGCCACTTTGTTATTGACAGCTAACGTGTAACATGTCACTTGTCCAGAGTTACGTGGCAGAAGGTCAGTAAAAAGGCATGGAGGCATATTGTATTGTTTTATTTACTCACTCAAGTAAAGGACTCTTGAAACGGCATTCCTGTTACAGCTAGCAAAACCCTTCACAGTTGTTTACAACGCTCGTCCCTTTATCACGCTGCATGCATTTCCGGTTGGATCCAAGCTGTGGCTCTCGGACCTTCTGAGGTCGGGGCCTTTTTTCCATTAATCCCATGAAGGCAGTGGCGGACTGGCCATCAGGACGTTCGGGGCGAAGCCCGATGGGCCGGTCGAACGATGTGGGCCGGTCGGATAAGTCACTAGCAACCCCCCCCCCTTGACCATTTACTAGCGGTACCGAAGTGGGCCGTCGGATAAGTCACTAGCACTGATTGGCTGTTCAGCTTAGTGAATCAGTGCATGAGAAGCGAAACGGAAGTGAGGGACCCAAACAAACTATTAAGAAGGCAAATCTGAGTCTTACATTTCATTTAAAGGATAGGTGTCATGCTTTTCCGGTTATTACCCGTCCCCTTCTGTGTTATGAAGGTTTTTATGCATGTCAACGGTGTGCAGAGTCAAAACCCTCAAAAATACACCCTATAGCGAGTAAAACTCTTAACACAGAAAATACCTCCTCAAAACGCCTCGTTGGAGATACGTCATTGTCCATTTGATTCTTCCGGGTACGGCATGATGTCAACCCGTACCCGGAACGAAATAGACCAATCCGTGGAGCCGTTACGTTAAGCCCCCGCTGATTGGTCCAAATTGACCAATCCACGGACTTCCTCACACACACATCTGTGTGCAGGGAGCAGGCAGCTCAGCTGATTTCTCCTCCCTGGCTGCAGGCTGATAACAGACAGTTGGGATCGCGACGGAATTCTCTCTGCAGACCCATTCTCACAGCGTTTATCAACCTTTTTCTTACTCAATATCAAGCCACACTTGTTTTTACTTCGGCTGTGAGTTTGTGTGTGCTCAGGATGAGTTTGGCTGTGTTTCGCTATGTATCCTAAACAAGGAAACAACACCTCCACGGAGCTCAGCGCGATTCACAACGTCCCGACCAATCAGAGCACACTGTGCTCACAGGGAGGGTGGGGGCTGGAGCTTTTGGAGCTACAACGAGCCGTTAAAGGCAGAGTGAAATTCAGTGAATACAAGTAGTTTACAGAGATGCTGTATGAGAAACCAATGTGAGTTTGGAAAAATGCACAGTATAAATCTATTTTAGTATACCTCAACAATGGAATTATGATCAGTGGAAATGGCCATGACACCTCCCCTTTAACTCCAGCTCTCGACACAGGTTCGGGAAAGCCACATGAGCTTCTCGCTATAGAGTGAAAATGGAACACACACGCTATTTGTTGTTTGTTTATATCACGCAGTCTGTTCTTCTTCTCTCGGTGTATCATGCAGTCTGTCTTCCGGTTGTTGCCTCTTTTGAATGACAAATACACACTACTTTAGAAATACATTTTCTTAACATTTCAAACCCCTTTAATTCCAATTTAAAGTTGCACACTTGAGGTACACAATAAATAAAAACACAAGGCCAGTTATACTAAAATTACTTTATTACAGCTGATTTCTGTTCAATATCCCTCTGCCAACACAATGGTAAATATAATACAAACAAAATAGTAAATTTGATCCTATTTTTATTCTGTTTTATGAATCTTTTTACACAATTTAAATCCACTTTTAGTACTTTACCATCTCCATAATCTCTCTGACATTCAATAACAAGTTCCACCATCTATACATTTTAATACAGGTTATGAGTTGTAGTGGTAATGTGCCAAAGAAGAATACTGACATCTTCAAAGAAATGCAATCTCTTTTCATAATTTGCCTGTCGCCACATCCTCTTTCCAGCCTTTTAACTTTGGCCACTAAAACCAGAACCGACTTGTTTTTATGTTTCATAGATTTCTTGCCGTCAGTCCACTGATAGGTGTAACCCTGGAGATGAGACAATGCAGTGGTCTCTGGGCTTGGCAACTCAGGTATGGCACAGTGTTTGACCATAGAAAGGATCGCCATTTTTGTTGCAGACTCTCGTTCGGTATCCCATAAGCTTTCAGTCAGTAGGACAAAATTTGACATCAAAGTTAAAAATATAAAATAAAATCCCAGTCTGTGGAGAGGTCCCATGACTGACAATGATTGACAACAATATCCAGACTCCCTCACACACAACATTGACATAAAAGCGAACAGAATCTGTGCATACAGACTTAAGGTTGGCATGTATGTGAGGTTTGATTGGCCTAACATTCAAACTTGGCTTTTGACTTAAGGTAAGATTCCGATCATGATAAATACATTCCCCTTTTCTTTACCAAATATCAACAAATCAGAAAATAAATGATAAATATAATCTGCTGTGTTAAAGTAGCTGGAACTAGTCACTCTGCATTAAACAAAATAAAAGGTTTTGGGACCAAACCATATGTAACTTGATAAAATGCATACCTTTCGCAGATAGGATATATACACATGTGGAAACTTAACATCCCACCTATTTAAGAAACAGACCCCAGCAATTGTGTCCTCAATTGTGATAGGAATATATCACAGTATGACATTCAGAGAGCGCCAGCATCTGAAGAAACGTCTCTGAATCAGAGTGGATTGGGGACAAATGATCAAATGTGTGCAGTAGGGGAGAACAGACTCTGCAGTGAAGATGCCGCCGGACTTAAGAGTGGCATTTTAAGTGGATGACTGAATTCATGCATTTGTGTCTGTAGACAAAACCAAGAGTATCTTCCAATGTGATGTCCAAAACAACTTAATAAAAAAAAAAACACTTTGACAGTTTGCTAATATCAGTGTGGTCTGTCAGTTAAATAAAGTTAGTTTTAGAAATTATTTTCTTAAAATGTGAGTTTAGTTTTAAATGTTTTCTTTAATAAAATATACACATATGAACATTTAACTCCAGCTTTGTGATTCGATGGAGCATATATTCTAATTCTCTCTGGATCCTTATCCGTAATGGCCTCTTCAACAAAAAATGTTAAAAACTATTTGTATGGAAATGGAAAGCCTAAGTAGAACAGAGTCTGTTAGAAAGGTTTAAAGGGTACCCACTTCTCAGATGTTTCAACCACAAACCAGAGAAAAAGGAGCGAGCAGAGAAAGATATTATTAGAGGAACTGCTAGAGCTATCAAAGGAATTCCTAAGTGCTTTTTGCCACATACATTTTGTATTTGGCTGTTTTCACAATGTGTGTGTTCACTCAATGTTACATTTACATGTCTCTGATACAATGTCATGCTTGAGATGGTGTAATATTTTAAACTTAGCACCGTACATTTTTAGTGTTATTTAACTGGGACCTAACGTTTTTAAGGTTGCAGAGTTTCTTAGATGTGCCAAGCCTGCTGTCATGGTCATGACAATTCATCTTCAAATTGCGCTCTTATGGACACTTTCATTTAGCACAGTTCAGTTTTTCATCGTGACTGTAGGGAAATCATATTTTAGAAACCTCACACATCCTCTATTCAATCTGAATTCAGCATAGACACAAAGAGGGAATAACCAGCAACAGCTGTATTTCAAACAGTACAAGCTGCAGGAAGAAGGAATTTGCTCTTATTCATATACTGTATGTTAAAATAAACTAGGTATTGGCCGTACTTGGCGAATTGCTCCTACAACATCACAACACGGGTTAGCTCAACTCCTCAACTTAACTACATACGTACCGATGAAACAATAATCCACCAGGTGCTATTTTCTTTCCTTACACATTTTCTGCTGTATAAAGTGCTTTGAAAAAGGCAGCAGTTTAAAAAAGGCACTAATAAAAATGAATCAACAGATCAACACTAGAATAGTTTTTGAAGGCAAATGAGTCTCCTCTTCCCCCTCAACACAATTCCTCCTGTGAATGTGTGCAATGACATTCTCTAACGCAAGTTCCCCCATAGAGGACCACAACTCTAAAGACCAAAAATAAAGTGACTGATTTACACAAGTCCTTTCTCTATTGCTCACCCTTTTTAAGACTGAAACCAACTTTTCTGCATACACAGTGAAAACAGTGATCTGAGAAAACTATTTGAGACTCGTGGAACTAAAGTCAAGCTTAACTAAACGTACACTGAATATAAACTAATGCATTTTATTTATTAAACTATAAACATCTAAGACTAAAAGGTTAAAAGGCACTGTAGTAGTGTTATAGCATAAGCCTGAAACGGTTAATAATATTGAATTTGGCTCACGTTCTAAGTGTCATTTTGGCTGATGAACAGGAAATCAGGGAAAATAAAACTAGTGAGTAAAAGGAAGCACCAAATTCATCACAATGACCATTACAGCAGGCTGGTATCACAGCAGCGAAGCATTTTAAGTTAGGCATGCTGAGTCAGAGAATCGACCAGTGTATAACTGAATATGAATCTGGAGTTTGAAGGAGAGAGGGCGGGGGTAAATAAATGTTATGATTGTTTGAGACGACATTTCTAAAGACATCGTAAGCACATGTCAAAGGCATGTGTTTCATGTGCAAAATGAGAGCAATGGCTGTAAATAGCACACAACATATATTCAAGCAGGAGAGAACTGTAAAGAAAAACAGATGGGAGTATTATTTGTTGACACTCAAATTACTGTTGTAACATAATTCTAAGGATCTGCATGTGTGCCGATAATCTGCCGTGAGGAGGGGCTGCGTCTCTTCCAGCCCTTTTGACCTGAGCAACACTAATTTCATCGCACATCCACATCTGTACACAGGAGGGGAGGGGGGGGGGGGGGTGGTGGTCTCAGGGAAAGAGACAGAGCAGCAGAGCTACGCCAATACTCTGTCCTGCTGTGCTTGTTTTGATTCTACGTCTCCACGCTCAGATTCTGACTCCGGGGCTGAAAGGGGACCTATGTGAAGGAGAGGTGTGACCCGTTGGATATTTGAGAGGTGACACTGGTACTCCTGCTCATATTCTGCTCATTGCGCCCTCCCGAGGGTGTCCTCCCCATTGCTTGGGGGCTGTTCTGTGCACCTCCACTGCTGCGAGACACCATGCCTCCTGCTGATGGATGGCCCCATGGTGAAGGAGCCCCACCTCCCTGCCCCCAGCCTTGCTGCATAGATGCCCCTCCCGGACTGGAGTGGTAGTTGTGATGGCTGCCGTGGTGGCCGGACCCTACGCTAGAACCTCCGCTGCTCCAGGGTGAGCCTTGAGAGCCCCCGGACGGTTGTTGTTGCTGATGGTGACTCCAATTAGCTGTAGCTCCGGGAAAGCTGTTGCTGAGGGCCTCTGGGGAGATGTTGGATAGCACCACTTTGCTGAAGCCCAGGCGCATGCTCTCTGAATCAAAAGCCTCCACTTCTCTGGCTTGACGTTCCAGAAGGCTCCGGATTCGCTCCAAGCGTTCATTCTGCAAGGACAACATCTCCTCCTCGATCTAAAAAAAAAAGGAAAAAAAAGTGAATAACAATGTACGTATACAACATATGCGTTTCTAGGAAAGGGCAATATATCAATACTCGTGATAAGAGACTAGCCATTTTCTTAGATGTCAATATATCAAATGTTTTGTCTTTTCCAGATTTTTTTAAAGGCTTCATCGAAGCTAAATGATGTCGTTTTCTGAACTTACAGGAATGTTTTAGCCATTACATCATTTGCCTTTACCCGCTTAGATATCAAGTCCACATTAATAACGATAAATTATCAGAATTCTCTTGGTTAATATTGTGTGAAAGAATAAACCCTACAATATTAATTTAGGTATTTGTCAATACTATTGTAGTATATGGTTTTCTTCATATTGCCCAGCCCAATGTACCTTGCATATGCACTTAATGTTCTACCATCCATCAGCAGTACAAATGTAGCTAATTATAAATCATAACTTATAAAGTAAAGTAAAAAAACATACCACTGTAAATCTGTTAAGTGTAAATAAAAAAATAAGGTATGGCTGAATTCCATTTAACTACTTCATTCAGGGTCCTCCTGTTGTGCATGCTGGCTCACCGTCAATGCTTACTGTGACACCGAGCCATCGTCAAAGTGTACAGAACAATGCTGTGTCTCATTTCCATTTGCCATATTTCAAATTGGGAAGCACTAATGCACTCAAAATAGCAAATGGAAGTACAGTTACATGAAAATTGAGACACAGCAAACATTTGTATATCCCTTACTCTCCTGGTCATATCATTGCACCCATTAGAACTGGCCAATTAACATTTAAAAAAAACTTTTTTTATTATAATTAAAGTAATCTAAAAACTCATAATCATCGAGTTGGACTAGTGTACATTTCACATGATAATAATGTATAGAGGGGAACCTTCTGTTCCAGCAGGGCCCTTCGGATGGACACCCTCTGCTCCAGGTCCTTCCTCTCGCGCTCGTGCTGGGCGTCTGTCTGCATCTTGATCTTGCTCTGGTAGGCGTTGAGCAGCTCCAGCTCCTGCTGCAGCTGCATGCGCAGGCCTTGGCACTGAGCCTCCTGAGTCTCATCCAGACGGAGCTAGAGACAGAGATCAGGGTCAGGATCCAACGAGTAAAACACACCCACCAGCATTACTGATTTGGACACATCCTCTATAAAAAGGTGGCAAAATCTAAAATTGGGTGGCACCTTCACGGTCTTATTTTCTTAAACTACATTCCTGGCATTCCCCGACTCACCGCCTGAGTGGAAAGCATCTCATTGATGGAGTGGTCATACTGCTCTGCCAAGATGGCAAGTTTGCGGTGCTGCTCCTGCTTCAGTCGTTTAAGGACAGCCTTGTGCTCTGACTTTGGTGTGGTCTCCAACAGATGGTTCCTCAACGCTTTGTACTGCCGGGTCTGGATCTTACATGTGTCCTGGAACTGCTTCTTGATCTGTAGCTCTTTGGACTATATCATAAGGGAAAAACTATCAAATTGTGCATTTCTCTATTCAAAAGCAAACATTAGGTCAACATAAAATACAGAAAATAATTATGTACATTAGGTCCCGACAAATATTATTGGGCTTGGACAAGAACTGGAAACGCGGAGATACAGAGGAACATAGGTCAGCTTCTTTTCTAATTTTCACTTTAAACTTTCTAGCCAGGGAAGGGGTAAAGCTTCAAACTCAACACTCTAACGGCCTGTCCACACGGCAGCGTGCGTTGAAGCTTGCCGGTGGGCGTGTCTGGCGTGCGACCAACAACCAATCACATTAATCTCCCGCCCCGGACACACAAGCACGCGGTTTGATTGGCTAGAGCTTGTACTGGCATATGATTTGATTGGCTGACGCTTCCGTCAACGCTTGAAAAGTTGAACTTATCTCAACATTCCAAGCGAGCAACGGAGGCAAAGCGTGACGTCACCCCATTCAAAGTGGATGGGAAGCGTCTCCGTTGAAACACGCGACGCTGCCGTGTGGACGGGCCGTAAGTCCTAAATTCTATGAATGAGTGCTTCAGCCCATAATGGCATATTCAGGATGAAAATATGGCCCCCCCCCCTGACAAAAAGTGAATTGCGTAAAACAGATCCTACAACTACCCAGGGCAACATTTCATTATTATTACAAACTCAGAGGCTGCGTTCTGACCTTGAGGCTCTTGGGCTGCTGGCGGACCTCCATAACGTGTTTACGTCGAAGTTCCCTCTCCCTCCTCTTGTTGTACTCCTGCTGATTGGTCAGCTCCGTCTGGTGCTGCAGGCGGGTGAGCTCAGCCCTGGTCTTTTGGATGGTGTTGAGCTGGCGGAACTCCAGCTCTTGCATGGACTCATGGTGCCGGAGAAGCATGGCGTGTTCCAAATCCTTCTGGGTCTGACGCTTGTTTAGCTCCTAATTATGTCCACATGGAAAGACAAACAACAAAAAACATGAGACTCTCACGCACCAAATAACTAAATGACTGTGTTAATCCATTAATTCATATTCGTAACATTTGCAACCCAGCAGTATACTGTAGGTGAACGAGTGCTGACCTCACGCGCTAAATCCTGTTCGATATTGTGGCGAGCGATCAAGATCCTCCGTTTGAATCTGCGGCACTCCAGATCCAGATACTGCCTCTGTCTGCGCTGCAGGTTGGCCTCCTCCTCAGCTTGGAAGTGTTGGAAGTTCTCCTTCTGCTTGGACAACCACTCTTGCTTTTCTTTCTTGGGTGTAGACTGGTTTTCATTCAACTCCTATATGGAAGAAAAATAGCACGTTACTAGTAGAACTGTAGCCAAACATGTACTGATTGATGTCCATGTATGGGTCCAGAAGGCCTGGGACTCCCTACCTCTTTAAGTTGTTCCTTGCGAAGTTTGTACTCGCGTTTCTGGGATTCGAGGAAGCTGTTGAGCTCTTTCTTCTGCTGACTCTGAATATGTTGCTGGAACTTCTTCTCATCATTGTTAAAGGTTTTTGCCTAATGAAGAAATACACAAGTTAGCTCTAGTTTAAAAAAGTATATTTTGTGAGTGAACACATGAATAAATAGGAAGCATACATCTTTCTCCATGGACACCAGGTGCTTTTTGATCAGTTTCTCCATCTCCTGGGCGAAGCTGTTCCTCTGGTTCTCCAGCTCTTTGTCCAGGCGGAGTCTGTGCTCATCCATCTCAGCCTTCAGCTTGTTTTCCAGAGCCATCAGCTGTTTCTGGTGCTGCCGCCTCATCCTCTTGTAGCCCAATATCTGCTCTCTTAACTCAGAGTCTTGTTCATGCTCCTTTATCTGGCGAGTGAGCTGAAAAAACAAAAAACAGGGATTCTCCTTATTGTGTTGTGGGTGGGAAGGAGGCAAACATTTGTTTATTGTAAAAGTGAGGTATTTCTTGAGAATATGGGAAACATGGACAATTATTTTGCATATTTAAGTGCATAAATGTTTCAAGCTGGATCATGCCTCTGCTTTTGATTACATACAAGATGACATACTTTCTAGCCTTAAAGCATTCAATGAAAACAAGCAAAGGACTTTTGAACAACCCGTGGATGTGGAAAATGTCCAGCAGCTACACAACATTTATCTTAGCCATCTTCTTATTTGATCTGCAAACACAAGAACTGTGTTATTACCACTGAGGCTGTGCGAATGGTAGCAAAGTGTTCGCGGTTTCGTTTCGGCCGTGGAGTGTGTGCGGGAGGGGACTGAGGCTCAGTGGGTCGGCTGTTTGGCTCCGACTCTTCATTATATGTCTGTTCCTCCTGAAAGGTAGACCACAATGCACAGAACATGTCAACAGCAGAGCAAGACACTGAAAGCGCAATCAAAAATAAGTATAATGTTTAAATAAATAAATAGAATGTCATAAAAACTACTATTATTTTTAACAGTGAGCACCATGTAACAAGAAATGTCTTCAGGTCGGACTGGAACCTGGTCCCCTTACCGGTTTGAGGTGTATCACAGAGCTGTTGGACATGACTGTGTGGTCTCCCTCTATGTCCACCTCACTCTTGTCATCGCCTGCATCTGTCAGGCTGTTGACAGAGCTGCTCTGGGAACTGGCACTGATTGACATACTGGGTATGGATTGGTTGCTCCCCACGCTGTTTACTGTCCCCATCCTACCCATGCTGTGTTCTGGCTCCTAGAAATAACACGTACATAAAAGCAACAAGGTTACCTAAAATGCTTTGTTATAACATAGGAACAAAATACAACATCCCTAAACTGGAGATCAGAGAGAGATAGGACAGACAGGAATGCAGGCTGGTAGAAACAGTCACATGACAGACCTCCTCTTCATCTTGTGCTTCCGTTGTGGGGCCATTGTGGGCTTCTTGAAACAAGATCTTCTTCATTTTACGATACTGCAGATTGTCAAGCTCTCGCACTGCGTCCTTAGTCCGACTTATCAGGTCTATGAGAACTGATTCTGGTCGCTCACGCTGGACAAATGCATGCTGGAGGTAGAACACAGGAAATAAGAATTGCAATAAAATCTTGACTTCTTATGAAACGTAATCTGCCGTAGCTGTCTTTTGGTTCTTACCTTTAAGAGCTCCTCAGAGTTTGGTCTATCCTGGGGAAATTTCTGAAGGCAAGAATCTACAAAGTTTCGGAAATATTCGGACCTAAAAGGGAGGGAGAAAATGTTGAAATATGATAGCGTTGCAATTATTTTAAGGACTCAGTTTACCAACAAAGAAATTAGACAGCTTTTGTTTATTTCCTCCTGAACTCACCATTCACTAGACTGCAGCGTGGGGCTCTCATTCTGTGCTATATGGTATAAGGCACTCATTGCATTCATGTTGAACAGTGGAGGCTTCCTCTCAGCTATAGACCAGGTAGCATGGGTCAGATGTTGCAAAGAAAAATAAAAGAGGAACGGAAGAAACATAAACATTAAATCGGTTATTGACCGAATAAGTGAGCAAAATTCATGCTTTCAATGAGATGTTTGTAAAAACAAAAAACTAATTTTTATCTTGTGATGTGAATTACAACAGCGACCATACCTAATTCAATGCAGGTGATTCCCAAAGACCAAATGTCAATCTTTCCATCATACTGGCCCTCATCCATGGCTAAAATTACTTCTGGGGCCATCCTGAGAAAACAAACAGATTCAGAACAATAGAGACATGTTAATAACTATTGAATAGAAAACTGTAAAAAAAAATATTATGGTTGCTGTAGCTGTACCAATATGGAGTCCCAACGAAGGAGTTGGCCGGGCAGGCAGTAGAGGCAGAACCAAAATCTGCCAGTTTCACCTGCCCTGGCTCCGTCAGCAAGACGTTTCCTGCCTTGATATCTCTGTCAAACAAACAATAAGAAATGATTACAGCTGTACACAGAAGACAGAATGCCTGAGGGCACAAGTGGTACATGCTCACAAACAGTTGAAACACTCACCGGTGAATCATGTTGTGGGAGTGAAGATAGGCCAATCCTCGAAGAGCCCCATGGGTAATTGCAGCTATTTCAACTTCTTGTAGAGGTTTCTTGTGAACTACAGAGGGAAACATTCAACAACAGCGATGTAAATCATGAAAAAGGTGACAAGAATAAACGGTTGCCTGCTTGGAGTCATGAAGCATTCAGTGCAATGATCAAGGTTTTCAACTCACCTTCTAACAAATCTGAAGCAGAGCCTAGACAGTACTCCATTACCAGCTGCGATGAAATAAAGAGCGTTACATTAGTTTTTATCTCATGGTTATATATTTTAGTGATCCTCACAGATTCTCAAATAGAGTCTTACCCAGGCAGTGTGCTCTCGCAGGTAACATCCTTTGTACTCTATGCTGTTTGGGTGTTGTATTCTTTGCAGGAATTTCACCTCCTTGATTATGTCTTGCCATTTCTGTGAAAATAGCAAACATTTTAAGGACGCAAAAAACAAAAACGCACAAAAGAATTGTGATAAAGATTGGCTGCCAACATGATACAGGTAGGTGAAAGCTATCATACCTCGGTGGACTGCTTTCCACTGTAGGACATCTTCTTGATGGCCACCACCTCATTTGTCCGCACATCCCGTGCCTGAATGACAAACACATTGAAACTGTCATTGCCACTTTATTTTACATTACCAAGGATTTACATTTAAATGTGCGATAAAGGATACAAGGCTAAATGGGAACAATTAGAAATATCTGTTTTACCAAAACTATTTTCTTTGTATCATTTACCTATAAAAAGGTCTTAAATTATAGATATTTGCATTTTAATTCAACAATCACCATGTGACCTCATTGCCCCACAATCATGACTCAATCTGTATAAGACAATGAAATGCTCCTCATTCAAATTCAGACTTTATAGCTGTTAGGGCAACATGGCATTGTACAACAACAACAAGTTGAGACTCGTGATTCAATCCTCTGTACACTGACTATTGACTAATAATATGCAATACATGTTTATAACAGCTTGGCTGGAACTTCCATACTACATAGACAAAAAAATACATCATAATAATAGAAAAGTGTATCTAGGTAATCATTTGACTGAGGTCAAGGCTGACACATCAACACAGTGTCATTCAGAAAGTCTTGCACTTAACAATCATTCTTGAAATGTTCTGAAATGTTTAAAAGGCCTTTGTGAATTATAGATCCACGCTCTACAATTGCTGAATACTGAAACAAAACAGAAACCTTTATCAATATCATCCCAATGACCTAAGATCTACAATTAATCTTTAAGCCTGTTCCGTACAGACTTGATCAACTGAAAGACATTCATAATGCACTTCTTTGTCAGTGTTTTATAGCACTATGAGTCAGGGAAAGTATCACAGCAGGATTTATGTTATCATCAGTAACAACTATCTTGAAGTAAACAATTTAATCAGCTCCTTCCTGTGACACAGGACTATATCAGAGATGTGCACCTGAATACATTTCAACCACTGAGTCAGACTAAACCCGTCCGATCAGTCAACCTTTTATTTTTTGGGCAAGACCCCTGCGTGTCTAAATAAACCAACATTGCGTTTCCCCCTAAATGAAATGACAACGATGCTATTTTTTAAGAAGTTCCGATGTCGGAATGAACATAGCCTTATTTTATTAAATACTTACAAAGTATACAGCACCAAAGCTGCCATGTCCGATCTCCCGCAGATCTGAGTAGAGCTTTTCTGGGTCCTCCTTGAAGAAGAGATCTGCGATTTCGGGGTCCTTCAGGCTCCCCGCCCGACTGCTGTTGGGCATAATGGGGAGTTGGGGGGCGATGCCGCTGCCGCCAGGAACTATCTGGGTCTGCGACAGCGACTTGAAAGCCCCCACCGATGGCTCATCTGCAGGACAGTGGTCTCATATGTGTTCAGAGCTGAAAAGTTAAAAAGCAAAAAACAAGAATGAGTACACTGAAGAAAAAAACAGCAGTGATATAACCTAATAAATTCAACTGTCCACAGTACTTCATTATTTATACTTAATGGACAATAGTACAATATGCTCAAAGAGAGGTTTGATAAAGTATTCTCCCTTCTAAATTAGGTAGCATTGGCAATGTTATGCTACAAAATAATCCTGTATGTTACAGGTAATGTGAAAAAACAGGTCGGCTAGGTGACACTGCTAACCTCTCTTTCGCTGTCTATATTGAGCTATAGTAGAGCCTATTACCCTGAAGAAGGAAAGGCTACGCAAAACATGAAGTGAACCATAAAACCAGGTGCAAATGTGGAGAATGGCCAGTCGGAAACACTGAGGTAGCAAGAGATAATTCTCCTGTTTCCATAGAAACAGAAACCACAGTAAGAAAATCAGTGGGCTGTGTCCTGACAAACTCCCCTCACACTTTCAGTGACTGGTATGTAGACAGACAGTTGTGAGGAGGACACAAAGAACTGTCTCGCGGCAGATAATTTCCAGGGCGAAAAAAAAAAGGTAACAACACGTTGCTTCACTGGGAGATAGATGCCTGAAGTGAAACAAAGCATTCCAGTGATAGGACTACTTGTTAAACCTGTAAGTACAGGTCTCAAACATACCAAACATTGTCCATATAACCTTCCTAAGAGTGTTAAGAGGATCAGTTCAACTAAATCACAACAAAACCTATTCCCAGTTATCCCAATTATATGGAGTTTCTAGCCCTGCTTTTGGTTCTGTTTCTTCTGTCCTAGTTTTGAAATATCCAACATATACCTTTAAAAAACAAACGTGTTTATGAGGATAACCAATCAACCTTACTGGGAAGAGTGGCCATTGACAACAGTTTTTCTTCAAACGCTGAAAATATCTACAGTTGGCTGTTTGGATTAACCTGATTTCAAAAGCTCACCATATAAAACCAAAACTATCTGCATGATTAGACTAGGGATGTGAGGGAAAATGTGGATTTGTTTTTGTTTTTCTTATTTCAGATGAAAGTTAGCCGATAATAAAAAACAGAAATGGCAAGGCTTCAACTTTGTAAGTACTTGATGCCCATTACAGTCTGTTTTACAGTGTCACTGCTGTAATACAGATGTAGACTGTAAAGATCATGGAGGAAAGTTTACTGAGTCCATGCTGCTCAGATGATCAGCTGCAAACAGATGCAGAGCTGACGCTAGAGTCACAAGACTGCTCCCAGCCTGGGAGAAACAGCCCCCAGTTCAAGCAGACATCTTTTGTCTCACAACAACACTGAACAACTCACTATTCCACACAGATGCAGCCACTGCCCTGAAATAAAGCCTCATTACCATGTGGGACTGTGCCTCTTTATTGCCATTGTTCTTTACTACATTGTCGCTCATGAATGAGCTTTGTTGTCATATCTCATGATGGCATTTTCTCCCGTGGACATATGAGCCCAGAAGTGAGTGATGATAACTGATACCTTCATAAAACACTCTTGCGTTCCAACTAGCACACATATATGCACAAGAATGCAGCAGGACAGTACAACAAAGCTTGAGGGCTGGAATTCCCAATGTATGCCCTCACTGCGCTGCATTTCCTGTTCGTACAGCTATAGGGAGGTAGGAAGGGGCCCTGGTGAGCATTTTGACTAGTTATTATCTCTCGCTCTCTCTCTTGACTTGACATTCTTAGAGACATGCATTGCAATAGCAGAAACAGATGTAAAGAACGTTTTAAATCGTTCATACCATACAGTGAATGTGTCTTTACATAATGACATCACTTAAACACAGTATCAGTTTTTAACTTGTCAGTAATGTTGTACAATTAAGTCATTTCCTTTCGGCATTCCATTGCACAGCACAAAACCAACACACACATAATGTACAACACCACAGAGTGTTTCATCTGCACCACCCCTGTCAAAGAACACACACATATGATTGTGAACAGGCCTTTAGCACAGCACATTCATGACTAAGATTGGGCCTAATCAGAGTTAGTCTGTTGGGATAAGTAGACACATGTACAGCATTGTTATTGCTCTGAAAAAAATTAATCGCTATCAATTGACCAATTTTTGTCCAAAACAGTCATATATGAGGTAAGGTATTTCAGCATTTCCTGCTGCGTTACATCACAAGTTACCTATGGCTAGGTAACGTTAATAAATCCCTGGAGTTGCATCACAAGTGGAATTAGAGAGAGCACTTAGTGGGATTTTCTGAAAGTTGTCACTTTCTAACAGGGGTTTCAGCTGTCATACAAGTAAATAAAACGAACAAAGTCTGTATATATATATATAAAAAAGACCCAACAACAACCCTCAAGCCAGCGCAATCAAATCAAAGGTTTCAGGAGCTCCCACACTAGCCAGCGTTGACTGTAATGTTAGCTGCACACCAAACTTGTCGTCAGCTAAGCTAAGTTACGTGTCATATGATCAAACAATCCGAGCAATATTTGCTACGTATTTACAACGTGAACAGTTGAGTAACTACCCAACATGATGTGGAATTAAACCAACTTCAAGAGTAATATACCAGAAATGGCTAAATTAGCAAGCTAACCTATGTGATGTTTGCCAAGTTAGCTTTTAGCCAGTTAGCTGAAACTCACCCTCTCCTGACAGGCCAGGTTTCAGCACTGTAGAGAATGTCGTGTAATTCAAAGCAGTTTAGGATTATAATTATGTTCCTCGCGTTTCATCCCCGGCGCGGTAATTTCGTACGCTAAATCCTTGTGGTTCTTAACGCTGTCAGTCGATTATAACATGCAGATTTGTGAATAAGTGTTGGTTAAAATCCCCACCCTCGAAGTAATGGGGAGCCAGAATAGTCGAATCCCACTCCCAGGCAGGTCCAAAGATGGCTGCCGAGCGCTCCGCCGCCGCCTCCCTTCGTGGAAATACGGTTGGGGAGAATGTGAGGGAAGTTCAAACTCTTACAAAACACCCAGAAACAAGCCGCCAAAGTATCCTCGATGTTGTAAGAAAAACAGGGGATCTAACCTAGCACCTTGCCGTGTTAACACGTTACTTTAAAAGCTGTAACTCAGCCTGCCTGTCCGTCTTCCTTCGACATACTGCAAACAGCAGTTCCGCCCTGCCTGTTGTAGTTGCAGTAAACTCTCTCTGACCCAAAAACATCCAGAGGCGGAGACATAATTAAGAAACACTCTGTCTATAATATACTGTATAGTGGAGTTAATTCTCAACTCTTACTAAACTTTACTGTTAATTTGTGGTTTAGTATTTCCTCATTATTTGTTTCTGACTAAATGACTTTGAAAGGTAATATAAAACAGAGTTATTACCTTTCAATGGAAAATGCTTTTTGCAAAATAGAATTTCACAGGTGGGTTCACTAGTTTCACATACTGAAAATAGTTCATTAATAGTATATTTTTTTTACCGGGAAGTCTGGTTGACATTTCAAAGGATTCCATCGATTTATTTTCTCTATTAAAAAAATAAAAACAAGACCATCAGTTGACAACAATACAATCAAGACAAATGCAAAAAGAGAAACAATAAAAGGCAAAACAAAGTACATAAGATAACAAAAGTCTTAAGTATTTGGGACCAATCTCATGTCTGATGGTACCCAGAAGTAGAGTTGATGGAGGATCGATGATCACCACTAGTTTAGGCCCAGAAATATATGAAAATATGGACAGAAACTTAATGACAACTTGAGGAAAGCATGTTCTATTCAAATTGTATTATCATGTTTTCTTAAAACATGTTGTATGCCTTAATTATGGTTGTTCAAGACGTAAAATGTTCTCCCTGTATGGTTATACTCACTGGCAGTTAATAAGATTGGCAGTAGATATCAGTTTTTCCAGGCTACTATACCTCAGCAAAAAAGCCCATAAGCCCCATTTGCTGTCAGCCGTCCTGGGCCCATCACAATTCAAAACACATACAAACATGCACAGGTTTATATTTGTATAGTCACCATAAGGGAATTATCTAAAATGCAAATATTCTGCTGTTGGCTATACTGAGTTGCTCTCTGGTGTGTTATGTGCTGTGCCCTGTGGACCCTCAGCAGTAAGCTTGTTTTTGAAAGGCCAAAAAGTGCATCTCAAGGCCCTCCACCTTGTTTAACTTGAGGATTTGAACCAGATACACCAAGTCATTTCAAACTAGGCAATTAATTATGTAATGTATATCAAATTGTTTTTAATTTCAGAAACATTTACAACAATTGGCACGTCTTCTTTATATTGCCATGTGACTGGATGTGTATACTACATCATGCTTAAATAATTATGTATGAGCAGTCCAAGAGAAGCACTTTTTCTATTCAGGCCATACCTGATAGTCAGCTATTGTTTACTGATTCTTTCTCTGCAATTTGTGGGTTAGAGCATGCTGTAACAGAAAACCCCTGTAGCCTCCTCAAGTTCAAACCCTCTCTCTCTCTCTCTTTGACCATCACTATCATGGTAACTCAGCTTGTACAATAACTTGCCTGTTTAGAAAGCCAGCTCATGGCAAAGTTCTTCGCAAGTTGGCTGTTAGAGGGCTTTTGGATGCCACATGTGACTGGTGCTGTATGTGTGTTGCACAACTTGGAGCTTCTCCACGAGGAGGGAAGATCCAGAGGGAACACTCATTTGGCTGTTTTGAGCCCATAATAGCCTGATTGAACTCCATATTCTAAAGCAGATAAGACTGTCCATATAAGGCTTTAAATGCAAAGCAATAGGTTGGCTACCAATTTTATAAATCTGTTAATAAAAAAAAAGCACTGACCTCTTAATTTTAGGGCAAAATTATGTTTATTTAAGCGATGAACGAGTCCTTGCACATGAACAATGGGCATCGGTGTGGGCTACTATGTGGGGAAGTGCATGAACATTGGAGACTAGCAAACTAGTAAACTAAGCAAAATCATTACAGCAATGAGAACAAGGTTTGAATATCAGAGGACGAAAGAGAGGATGTATACGTCTTTTGAGAGGTGGTCCTGAGCTCAAGCCGCATATAGCCCCATTTGTGATCATCAGTACTCACATTTGTATAGAATGATTTAAGCAGAAAAAAAGTTTACATTATTTGTAATCTTCTCTTGCTGCAAATCCCAAATAATGTCCCAATTTGGGATCAATAAAGTACCTAATCTATCTATCTATCTAAATGTATCTTTCTTGAGTTTTAGTAGCCTACTACTAATGTACTTTAGAAATAAAGTGCTTAAGGTTTCCGTTTTACTTGCTACATGTTAAGCATTTGATACAGTAATATTGTAGTATTTATTAATGCAAATTGATGTGGAGAATGACATAATGTTCACATGATCATGACCTAAGCTTTTATTTTGAAGAAGAATCTCTCCGGAAAGCCTGAAGTCACGCCTCTGTGATGACGCCATTGCGTCAGTGCGGAAGTACTCCTACTCTCGCACATGGTGAAAATGGCTGCGAATGAGGAAAAACAACAGGGGCACAGACCCGGCGTATTGAAACAGAAAAATAAAGGCCACAAACATGGCAAGCACCGGACGAAAGGTGAAATTGAGAGAGAAAACAAAGGTAAGCTGTGTTCCGTTACAAAGTGTTACTTATCAGACGCTGTTTGCTTGTGACTGTGCCCACGACTCTGCAAGGACACGTGTTGAGTCTTCTTGCGCATTTTATAGGCGGCGTCATATGAGGAGAAGTTCGTCAACATTTCTTTGTAAGAAATCGAGTTAAAAACCCACCGTTTCTCGCGTCCCGCTTGACGTTGCTAACTAATCTGCGTACATCTTTCTCCAAATGACCCGTGACCTTATAAAGCATGGGGCAACCAATCAGAGCTCCCAGACATGCGTTTTTTTTTTATTGAAGTAGAAACTGCCCACCATACATGGCAAGCGACCCACCATGATCATCTTTAGAAAACAGAGCACGCAAGTTAACAGGATCATAACATAATGAATTACATGTTATAAAACGAGATGTCTCTAAGGTCTGCTCTAATAACTCTTAGGCATCGATAAAGCTCAATAAAAATGTTATTGTTCATATATTTGTGATTTACATTAGGGAGAGTAAAAGCAAGTATTAGTAAGATAACATTCTTTTATTTTTATCATCACATCATTTAATTTTAGACTATATATACAATGCCATCCAGAAAATTGGGTAGCTATCATGTGTATGTGAATCTGACAGCCTACATCAGGGCTATTCAATTAGTTTGGAATGGGGGCCGGTTGATAAATGATCCAAAGCAAGGGGCCGGGAAAAAGATGGCTTAAAATATGAGCAATCATATTTAAGAGCTTCAGATACAGTAAATACTACAACAGCATAGTGGAGTGCATATATTGTGTTTAATTCAATCAAACAACATAGCCCCAAGGCCTTTATAGATCTAAATGGCAAGTTCAGAACTCAGTAGGCCTACATGTTTCATTTGATTTCATTTAGGTGAAATGATCTAATCATTCACGCAGAGATGCAATCAATGACAGGAGTTGTCACTACAGTATAGTAGGTGGGTTCGAAACCCGAGCCCGTCGAAGTTTTCAGGCATTGTCTACCCCTCTATCTCTCAATGTAACACCCTCTCTGGAATAAAGGCACTATGGCACAAAAAAAAAAAAAAAAAAAGATCTTAAAAAAAAAAAATTGATTACTTTTTAACATTATACTCAAAGGGCCAGTAAATATCACCCCGGGGCCGGATTTGGCCCGCGGGCCGCCAATTGAATAGCCCTGGCCTACATCAACATACACAATGTTTGATGATACGCTATTTCAAAGCTATAGCTATGCTCAAAGGCATAGTTAAGGATTTTTGACATATAGGGGTTTGAGTTACACGCTGTAAAGAGGAACATGGACATTATTATTTTATGTATTTAAGTACAGAGGATCCAATTGAACAGAGAGTATGTCAGATATAATTGAACCACAGTAGGTGGGACAACTCAAATTGTCAGAATATTGTTTAGTTCCCAACAACATAGCACAATGACAAATCAAAGTATGGCTTAAACTAGGGCTGTGCAATTATGGCAAAAATCATAATCACGATTATTTTGGTCAATAATTGATATCACGATTATTAAATACGTTTATTCATTGACTTTGAAAACATCAATTTATTGAACTTTAAAACAAATACAAATAATAATTTGAACAGTATCTTTTTAACTGTTGATTACCCTGAATGTATAATTCAACTGAAAAACCAATACAAAAATAAATTAAATTATACATTTACATTTAAATAAATAATATCAAAATAATAAATACCAATAAACAAGATCAACAAATATTTTGGAGCGCACTTCAACAAGCTACTAAACATATGTAAATATGATAAATACAAATAAATTAGACTAAAATAAATTAGATCCAATATGTTGCAGTGCACGGTCACAAACAAGCAAAGCAAAATAATTGTTTTTTACGATTATGTTGTTTTCGTAATTGTGGCAGGCAAAAATCGTAATTGCGATTAAAATACGATTAATTGCACAGCCCAAGCTTAAACATATGCATTAAATAAATATTACTTAGAATTGAAGAAAAAAAGTCTAGCCAGTCTTTGCTGCAGGGCTCCAAACTAGACGGGTGCTATTGATATATCGCCCGTTCAGCAGCTAAGATATTGGAAACGTGTATCATAATCTCAACAGCCGATAGAAAGTCATGTCAATATCTTGTTTGCACTATTCACATATCTCCAGCAACAGCTTATAGTTACATTAAAGGTTTTCCTCAAAGGACACCCACTTGGAATGTCAATAGTAGTTTACGAGATTAAATAGTTTCACATATTGATGTCCTAGATAGCAGAGCACAAAAGCAAAAAGTAATTTTTTGCAGTTTGCCAAATTTTAAATCAACCTTCAATATATGTTATGAGGAGTTGAGGCCTTTTATTTGCGATTTGTGTTTTGCTCAATAAAACATCCACACCAGTCATATCCTCACAGTAATAAATCCTTCTGTCTTTCAGGTAGAGTATCAGTGACGGCCCTTACTAAAAAACAGAGGAAGGAGCATAAGAGGATGGACAGAAGGAACAAAGCCAACCAGCTACGCAAGAATAAGAAAGACATGGTAATCTTTTATTTCAAATAAAGAAAAGTCTTCTTTTAAATTCCTAATTGTTGCAGCACAGTTTCACCGCTCATGTCTTTTTAGGTCCTAACAGAAAAGCGCCGTCTAGGCACAAGGGACGGTCCTCCTCACCTGGTTGCCGTGGTTTCCCTCCATGGTGGAATCGATGCTGGGACTGTTACCAAACTGCTACGTGGGGAGGGGGCTGGGGGTGTCGGACTTCAGGAGCGGTGCATCAGTGGAGTCACTGACAGTTTTGGGATACTTCTGCCTCGTTTTAAGCAAAGGTTCAACTTTCTAAGCATCAGCACGGGTCAGTATCAAGTGATATGGAAAAGCTGATTACAAAGAACGAAAGTGCAATGTGTTACGAGTTTAAAAGCAGTTAATTTATGCATTAACAGTGTTGCAGACCACAGTGATGCAACTTGCAACCTTTTATTTTGATTAATGTTGTGATTCGTTTTTTTTTCAAAACAACATAGACAAAAGAAAAAACAGTTCGACAAAAGCACAGTCCAGCATTTTGGATGATACGATGTATACACTGTTAATGTAAATCTATATTTAACGAGCAAATTAAGACAAGTGTTTAAAGATTAGCCGCTTTCACACCAAGTACTTTGCCGTACTTAGTGCCCAGCACTTGGTACCCCCAGGGCACTTAGTACAGATCACGTTCACACCGGAATAAGTTCCCTGAGGGAAGATTACGCAAATGAAGCCGCTGACGTCACTTCTTCTTCTGCTTTGGGTTTGGGCCGCAAACCACGTCACGGCGTATACTGCCACCCGAAGTTCCCGGCCGGAAGTCCCCGGAGTTGGGAACTGGCTTCAGTAGAAGCTGCTGGGACTCCCAGCAGCTTCTACTGAAGCCTTCCGAGTAAATCGCCAGAACACCGACACCTCCTCATCACTCCACCGCTCCCATGTTTTTTTTTGTGTTGCCATAAGTTATTCTCTCCCCTTTGGTGCGCGGGGCTAATGCTAATAATGCTAATGCCAGCAAATACAATGGCGGCTTCACAAAACTTTTCAGAGTTTTACGGGGCGTGGTTTGCAATTCGCCCAGCCAATCGAAATTGGTACTTTTTTCTCCCCAGGAGAGTACTCTTTTTGGTGTGAACGCAAAATTCCAGGCACTAACGGAACTAAACGGGAAAAGTACGGGTAAAAGTACTCCGGTGTGAACGCGCCTATTGTATCATGCATAGGCCTTTCATTTACGAGTTTGTCTTTTGTTTTGGTCATTGTTGTTCCATTCTGAAGCTTCTCTAATGTTTTTTGTTGGACAGCTGACATACACTCTCTGCTGGATGTGGCAAAGATTGCAGATAGCCTTGTATTTGTACTGGACTCTGATGAAGGTTGGGACAACTATGGAGAATACTGTCTCTCCTGCCTCTTTGCCCAGGGCCTTCCTAGTCATGGTGGGTATAAATCTGAACACACTGCTGGAAGTTTTTAGACTCTTTTATTGACACTTGTATAGACTTTTGTTGCAGCCCATTATATGCATTATTTCAGCTTTTTATGGTGTACATTTTCTAAGTTTTCCTCTCTGTTCCTATATTTGCCCCATGTAGCACTGGTGTGTCAGGGTGTGTCTGAACTTCCTGTGAAGAAAAAGGTTGAGTCCAAGAGAGCTCTGTCGAAAATCACAGAGATCCGTTTCCCTGATGAGCGTATCTACCCTTTGGATTCGGAGCAGGATGGCACTCTACTTCTCAGACACCTGGGCACTCAGAGACAGAGAAAGCTCGGTTTCCGCTCCAGACGTGCCCATCTTTTGGCTCAGAAAGTGTCTTTTACGGCAAACAGCCCTGCTGAGGGGACAGGTGGTGGACCCACTGGCCTGGGCACACTCTGTGTCTCTGGGTACGTCCGTGGTTGTCCTCTACAAGTTAACAGACTGGTGCACATCACTGGATATGGAGACTTTCAGATCAGTCAGATTGATGCTCCATCAGACCCTCTTCCCCTCATCTTAACAGCAACCAGACCTGCAAAGCCTGGCAAGGAAGGAGACTTTGACATGCAGGTAGGTGAAGAGAAATCAAACAGCTAGAGCTGAAACCTTCTATTGGGTTGGTTCATTTATTGGTCAACATGCACTAGAAAAATGACCGTTGTTGGTGTTGCTTTCAAGGAAAATGTGTTTTATATCCATTATATGTGGGAGCATATCAAAATTGTCATATTTCATTAGTTTGGTCTATTAGACTAATTTGTTTGTCTAAATTATGTAACTGCAACCGTATTCCTTTCCTATTTTTGGAAATCAGGAGAATAGGCAGGTGCGGCCTTGATGGCTCCGAGTCAGTTGTTATCATTTACTTCGTAAATAATATGTTTAAAAATAATTCAAATTGCTGCAATTTAGCTTTTTATGTTTGATTATAATTAATTTAGGGCTACCAGGTAGAGTGCACTCAGTGCACTGTGGGTGATTTGAGTTCATTTAGAGATAATGTGCAGATCCCTGCCAGTGACAGCTGGTTGACGTGTAGGGGAGGGATTGTTGACTAAGATTTTGTTACTACACTCCTAGACAAATAACAATAAATACCATGTGAGCCACAAAACATTTTGTTTTTTTTGCATACAAATGGAGTGCACAAAAATGGGCACTTTTAACTTTCTTACCATGCAGCAATAACGTAACCTTGAAAACAATTACCGCAGTCATGTTATCGATTATAACACTAAGCAAGGTGTCATATTTTCAAATTGTTAATGAATTTAAAGAGCAGCTGAAAAATTCTAAATGTAAACCTGAATGTTGTTCGTAAAAAATCTGTTAAATGGTTTGGTATGTTTTAAATGCATAACTTTTAACACTTTGTAATGGTCAATTAGTTTAATCTTTACATTTCCAGTTTACCTCAGTCATCTGTGTTTCCTACAGGATGGAGGCGAGGAGGAGGCCCCAGTGAGGGTGCTCATGAAAGCGGACCCCTCCTGCAGGGAGAGTCTGCAGGCGGAGGCTGAGGTGGACCCCATGGAAGGAGAGCAGACCTGGCCAACAGACTCAGAGCTCCTGGAAGCTGAAGGTGCGCAAACAGAATGTACACATTGTTGCTGTTAGAGCAATCACAATTGTTGTTGTAATGCGACTAGCACCAAATTATGCTGATGGTAGAGTTCACCTTTCCACGACTTGACAACTTTAAATAATTTCTGGCTACCAGAAATGACGTGTACTGAAATGCCCTCCTTGATTAAAAGTGGAGAATAAAAAAGAAATTGCTTTATACAATGAAACTCCAATAAACAGGATTAAATTGTTTTCACTTTTTAGAGGCCAGGAAGAGCAAGCGTGTGATGAAGGTCCCTAAAGGAACATCAGACTACCAGGCCTCCTGGATTGTTGATGAAGAGGAGGAGAGTAATGGAGAGATAGACGAAGAGAGCAGTGAAGAGGACGACGATGATGACGACATGTTGGACGAGGCCATGGAGGATGAGGACAATGTTTCTCAGGTAAACATTCAAAGTCTTTTTTTAAGCATTTACCTGAGACACAGGAGAAATTAGTTGAAGAGATCCATGATCCATTTCTGAGGCTACATCCACACTTCAACGATCTCCATACACAAGCGTTTAAACAATAATATAACATTTATGAAAAATATAACCTAATTGACGAAATTGTTAATTCATCAAATGTATTATCAATAAACAGTTTCAGCACAAGGGTTTTTAGCTGCTTCTAGTTGTCATAGCAACTGTGCAGTTGCAGTCACAGTGTGATGTAATGGAGGATGATGAGGACAGTGATCCGAGGAAGAGCTCTGAGTCAGTGGCAGTGGTTCCGGGGCTCGGTGCATGCGTGACCTGCCGTCTACGCACCTCCTCACTGAGAGGCACTGTTTGTTTTCTCAGTGTCTGTCTCTGGCCTGCAGTGCCAGGCTATACAACAATAGTGTTTGTAGCAGGAGTCCCGAGAGAAGCCTCCTGTCTTCCTGTCTTGTGAACAGAACTTCCCGTCTGGACGGAGGGAGGGGACGACCATTTATTTATTTCCAGCTCTGCTTGAAAAGACGTCGGGGGAAACTCTCCTTATCCAATGGGTTTATTACGATCTGTGATTGTTATTAGCATGTGTTTGAGGTCAATTTCAACGCACAGGAATACGTATTTAGGAAAGCGTAACAATAGGGAAAAGGGTACTTCAAATGATAATGATTATTATCATTGCTGGGTGTTTCCCCCCCCATGTGTCTGGCTCTGCCTGTAATCTACAAGTTGAGGAAGGACTTTAAAGAATGTCGTTTTTGATGATTCATTTCCTTATACAAAGGTAATGCTCACGGAAGTTGAATTTTACATATTGTAAGAATGAATGACTAGATATAGTGAAGACACTCCATTGAAGGCACATTGGGAACAACGCAACATTTAAATATATACAAACCAGGGGTTCCTATACTTTGCCTACTCCTTATCACATTCACACATACACACAAAACTGTGCTCATATTGCGACCGAGTCAGTCTTGTTTATGTTTGGCTGTAATACAATTTCTATACTTAGAATCTCTTTGAGTGAACTTGTGTTCCAACATGTACGTCTGGCCATTGTTCAGATAATATCGAGGCTGCAATTTTAGACAAAATGGGGAAGCGAAAAGCTGCCTTGATGAATTAGGAAAAAAAATGGTGTATGTATAAAAATAGCTTTGTAATGGGAGTGTAACAAAACAATTAAATATGCAGAACAGCAATAGAATAGCAAAGAAACAAGTTCCAATATGTCTCGACTCTCGACTCGATTAAGTACTGTATGTGCAAGAGAATTTAAAAATGAACTTATGTGAGGTTATGTCTCAAAGATAAATCTTGCCTGTTGTTATCTGGTGATCCAAATTATTATTATTATTATTTCTTTCCAGGTTATTAGATATATCCAGTATAACTATGAGATGTCTGCCTCCACCAAAATACAAGGGGTTATGACGAGAGTCAGACAGGATGCGACAGGATTGTTTTAGTTTAGTGTGATCCTTTTAAAACCAGAAACTACAGTGTGTCTCACAATGTCACAAAGCTACTTTTACATTATGGCAATAGTCACATTTAGGGGACAGGGAAGATATTGCATATTGAAGCTAATTGTACTTTATTCTCTCTGCTCAGGATCCAGGTTCAGAAGAAGAAGAGGAGGAGGAGGATGAGGAGGAGGAAGAGGTGTGCGCCGAAGAGCGAACAGGAGTAGATGAGCGATATGATGAGCACATTGATGTGGCGGCAGAGGAAGAAGGCCTTAAACGCTACCGTGAAGCTCGGTCCAATGAAATGTTTCCTGATGAGGTGGACACGCCACTTGACATGCCAGCTCGAATCAGGTCGGTTCTGCTTCTATTATTAAAGACTACATATACATATGGAAACGTTGTGAATTTATGTGTGTATGAAAACTACACATTTGATAGCATTTACTTTTTGCCGTCCTCTTCCTAGGTTCCAGCGCTATAGGGGCCTGAAAAGTTTCCGCTCCTCACCCTGGGACACCATGGAGAACTTGCCCCTCAACTACTCACGCATCTTCCAGTTTAAGAGCTTTGAGCGCACTCGCCACCGCATACTGGCTGAGGCCGCCGCAGAGGAAGAGGGAGCCATGGTAAAAAAAAAAAGGATGGCTGTCTTCATTTGTCAATCTTAGACTTGTGGCTTCACTGACTCTTCCTCTTCTGTTTCAGGTGGGCTGGTATGTTACGCTGCACATCCTTGATGTCCCCTCTTCTGTGATGGAGAGTGTGCAGTCAGGCAAACCTCTGATAATGGTGTCTCTCTTGCCCCACGAACAGAAGGTTCGATCCACTGTTTTGACATCCAAAAAACCTTTTACGTCCGAGTTAATATCTGTCCATGTGAGCCAAAGTCACTGTTGCAGTTCAATTTTATTGTAATTGACTTTTATGACCTTCTATGCACAGATGTCGGTGATGCACCTCTTGGTGAGGAGACACCCCAGCAACACAGAGCCCATCAAATCTAAAGAGGAGCTGGTGTTCCACTGTGGATTTCGGAGGTTCAGGGCTTCTCCTATCTTCTCCCAGCACACTTCAGGTAGAACACCTATTAATCGAGCAAACTATTACAACTTTAATCTCCTCTTGATGATAGAAACAATACATTAATTAAAACAACTGAAAGCTATACAAATCAAGTAGCAAATAACTGACTACTACATGTAAAGGTTCTGCTCCCACCAGAATTACTGATGTAATATAGGCTTCAATCTATTACTATTGACTGGGCTTAAACATTTTATTTAATACATGTACTAGAGCCAGCTGGAGATAATGAACGTGATTTTGGTATTATAGAAACTTAGTGATACACGTATCCAAAAAAAGCATATATCCAGTTACATGGCAACATGTTGTCTTAATTATTTGTAGTTCCAAAGCATTGTGAAATTAGCTGTTTCTGTTATTCAAAACTTTATGAGCAGAATAATGTAGAAGCAGGTGGACAAAAACATATTCATCTACAGTAATGAGTTATTTAGTGTTAAACTGGGCTCTGCTCTTCTCTAGCTGACAAGCATAAGATGGAGCGCTTCCTCAGGCCAGATGCCCCCACCGTGGTGTCGGTGTACGCTCCCATTACCTTCAACCCCGCGGGAGTCCTGCTCTTCAAACAGAAGAATGATGGTGAGATGAACATTTATAAGTATAGTTATATAATAAGTAGATAACATGTGTGGTCTGTTAGTCCTGATTTTTACCATTTAGATAATCTATTCTGGTGTTTTTGTGTCTTTTCAGGCATCCAGGACTTGGTGGCTACAGGCAGCCTCCTCAGCTGTGACCCTCAGCGTGTAACGCTGAAGAGGATTGTACTGAGCGGACACCCGTTCAAAATAAACAAGCGCTCAGCTACGGTCCGTTACATGTTATTCAACAGGGGTAAGATGACATTTGGATACTTTTATTCTTACTACAAAATATAGCTTCTGATTGACTTCCCTGTGGCTGGAAGCTTCATGGTGAATTCTTTTTTTCTGTTACAGAGGATATAATGTGGTTCAAGCCAGTTGAGCTGCGGACAAAGTGGGGAAGGAGAGGCCACATCAAAGAGGCTTTGGGTGAGAACATAACAAAAAAAAAAAGTACTTTTCAGTTGAAGCAATGTCTGTTATAAGTTTAACAATTCTAACTGTCATGTTTTATCTTTTCAGGAACACATGGTCACATGAAGTGTGTATTTGATAATCAAATGCGCTCGCAAGACACTCTCCTGATGAATTTGTACAAGAGAGTGTATCCTCGCTGGACGTATGACCCCTTTGTGCCCTCTTCGTTAACCTGGTTCAAGAGAGAGATCATCGTGGATATTGACGACTTGGACATGGAATAGTGCATGATAACGCAAGAAAGACACAATGTACTAACGGCAATACCTTATATCTGTGTGATCACATGACCTTTTCAAAAAGTGTAATGTGTATTAAAACGTTGGATTCAAAGTTTCTACTTGTTAATTGTTTTTTTTATCTTTAGCCATGTTTTTCTATTTTACTAAGCAAGCTCTAACTTGCTGCATGAGTCTGTTTCAGCCACTAGATGGCAGTGATGAACAAGTATTCATAACGTTTCTTCACTACTCTGATGAGCAACTTCAACTGTGTTTAAAATGGTTCAAGAATCTGTGACTGTTGAAGGCTTCAGGATGAAATGAGTGCTGTTTCCACAGCTACCTATAACAAAGACAAGTCATGACGATTTGGCTTTATGTCTGTAATACAACTCACATGTACTAACTGGAAAAACATTGTTAAGTACAAGTTGTTCATGTCTGATAATAATTGTGGAAAAAGAACCTAAAAGTACTTCTCAAACCGAAATCCTTGTCTATCCATGTAAATGACTGAAAAGTGTCATTTTAAGGCCATGACAAATAGCATGTAAGATTTATTATTTTATATTTTATCAAAAACATGCATCAGTTGACTTAAAACAAGAATACCTAATCCCCAGTCTCAGAATGAATTGTATATCATATGAAGCTACCACAAAGCACACAATTCAAAAATCCCAAACCATCTCAGCTATTTTAGGCCACATGGCACCACCAACATTACGTTGGTGTGAGGGCAAGAGAACAGCTTTAAAAACAATTATTCTCCAAACACTATGCTAGATATTCCTGTATACTGTGATTCATTGAGTTTGGTGGTTCGCTTAAACTTGTATGAACAACTTAAAGTCAAATCATATGTAGTTTTATAGTAGTTGTAGTACACTTTTGCTGTTTTCAAACTTAAACTGAAATACTTTGTGTCCTCTCCTGCACCGTGCTTTCCTGCTTAGGAAAACAGTTTTATGAATTGCAGTATATATCATAAAACTGAGCTCTTGCATGCTTGCAGCAACATGATTCATCATTGGGCTGTGTTGGGACTGCACCACAGAGGCATGCCAATATGTCTGGGAAACCAGAAGGTGAAGACTCTGGGATGGAGAGGAGAACATGATCCAAGAAAACAGGGTAGCAAAAGTTCACTGTGTTAAAAAAAGTTGAAGAAAAAAGATAATACAATCGAAAAAGACTAATGTCTTTATTGCCCATGGGGGGCAAGCAGGGGGCTCTGGACAGTTTTGAGGTAACACTCAATTTATTTCCTACTTTTTTAAACATGTATTCAAGGGCACAGTAACAGTGATGTGAGGCGGAGGGGAGGGGGTGGTGTTCTGCTGGCCACTAGATCATGGCTAGGGAAGGGGGGTTTCATTACCCCCTTGATGGATAATGCTTTGAAAGTAACACAAGTACAAAAATGGTAGTTGAGATGCGCACATTACATTTTTCCCTGACACTATCAATTTGAAACAGATAAACATTCAGGGGACCAACTGCAACGTGGTGAGGCCGAATGCAGCCCATAAGTGAAGTGTGTGTTTGGCAAGGGCCACCGTCAGGAGACATGAACGCTGGTGACTGAGTGCTGTTTGGATCAGGAATGTCTTGTGGTTCCCAGTTCACTGCCACCACACTTAGTTGGCTCCCACTGAAGATATAATGGGTGAGAGAATTTTCCGTTGGATGTGGAAAAGAAACGGAAGGAGAAAAAAGGGGCAGTGGGGGAGTGAGAGATAAGCGAAGAGCCAGTTGATGTTCAGCATGAATAAAACCAGAAGTGGTGGGAGGAAGCAGTCGTAGGAATGTGAATAGGGGGATGCATAGATTTTGGAAATTAAAATATAAAGTTAGTGGGTGAGATAGAGAGAGAGAGAGTGAAATGGAGGAGTGTGAGAGTCGAAGGCGGTGTGGGCGAGGGAGTAGAAGAGCGAGAGAGGCTGGCGTTTATGGATTGCAGATGTGGCGCAATGGGGTTTTGGCAGGGGCCATGCGAAGCCTGAATCCTGCACTGGCTGGGTGGCACCGGGGTGAGAGGGAGGTCATTGCACCGCAGCACACAGCCCATAAAACACTGAGAGTAGTGGGGGAGAAGAGGGAGAGAATAGGCCTCAAATACTCACTAACCCAGGACTGCAGGGCAGTGAGCACATCACACTTTGGGTTTAAGCATGCACAGGCATACCCAAACATCCTGTGTATGTTAAGTCAGGCTCATAATAAAGCCATAAGTTAATGCATGAAGTGGAGGGTTGATAAGCTTATCTCAAATGTATTAAGGATGAGCCATCTGTAGACACCTCCCCCATCCATGAAAAATCACACTATCTTCCCTGTTAAAAGGGAATGTTCCACCTCTGTACGCATAAATGCTAAATGTATTACAAGAGCCTTTGACAGGATGATAGAAGAGAAGCAAGCCAGCCTGTGTCTGCTCACTTTCTACCATTTTCTCTTTCAATCGTTATCATTCCACATCTTCCTTTGGGAAGTAAACGTGGATTTTGGAATACAGTCACCAGAAATGTTTTTGGCAAACTTACAGATTCCCTCCTTCTTCTGAGGAAATCATTTTGTTTCCCATTTAATACCCAGATCTACTGCAGTGTTCTGATGCTAGAGGACCTTCATTTCCCTGCAGCCATTTGCAGGGTTTTATTGTTTGAAAATGTGAGACTGTTTCACATACTGTGTGCACCTCAAACCAAATGTCTTACATTTAAAGTTCTAATGAAGCTGGCTGGCATCTTTAGATATCCTACAGCACATTCAAGCTGGAGTGAGGGGGTTTTGTCTCCCCCCTCTGGAAGTGAGAGTAATAAACACATAGGAGAGTTGATGCTCCAGGTAACAAAATAAACTCTGTGTACAAAGAAAGGATTGAAGTAACAAAAAGTGCACTGGGGGTAGCAAGCTCACCTTGCAGGCATCAGCACGTGAACGTCGCCACATACCACATACCACATGTGTGTGGTACAAAACAACTTCTGAATACTTCAAAATACTAAGAGCTTTCTCTGGCATTGATAAACAGCATTGTGTGAACTGTTTTGGCAATATCTTTAAATGTAACGTGTGTTCTTTTAAAGTCCTGCGCTCTAGCTCTAAGACCCATCATTTGACATTATGTACACACTGAAATGATAATGTCTTTGTTTTCATGTACAGTAGTTTACCTTATGTCTGATTCCCTGTAAAATCAGTGTTTCTTCCACTCTGAGAAAACTGAGCACTGATTTTGTTGCAACATAAAACCAAATGACAACACTACTATTAAATAGAAAAACATACTTTAAAAAGTTTTATTGGAAATGTGATCCTTAGTACCATTTTGCCAGTAAAAAACCTTAAGGAACATCTCATGCACTCTCCTGTTTGTGTAGGTGCAGTCTGACAATACTTTCGTATTAGGTCAGCTCTGTTTTTCTCTTTCTTTTGTGATATCCTTCCTTCCCTCTCTTGTTCCCCTTTTTCTCCCCCTTAGCCTGGTCCTGACTCCCTGGTTCCTGGGGCCTGGCCAAGGCGTGTGTCCCTGGAGGAGCCAGAGAGGAGATGGAGAGGGGGCAGCAAGGGGGTGCGGAGACCGACTCCAAAACCACAGCTGCAGCAGCTTCTCTTTCCTCCTCCCCTCTCTCCTCTAATGCCTTCCCTCCTTGCCTGGCACCCTCCCCAACCCTGCCATTAATCAGAGGGGATGGGTATTTTTGTGCATGTGTGTTTGTGTTTGAGGGGGAAAGATGCTGACTATGTGAGTCGCCAACTGAGTGTTTATGTGCATCTCTGTGTGTGCTGATAGAGAGCTGGATGTGTCGGTGCTGATGGTATGGAGACCAGGATCTCACACAAAGCTGCAGAGTTCACCCAGAGAACAAAAGCGGGAGGGAGGGCTGGAGGTTGACAGACAAAAAGCCTGGTGAGCACATTTGGGACTGCCAGTGACTAAAAGGAAGAGGTAGACAGATGATCTGCAGAAGTCTTTTAGCATTTAGACATTTTAAGATGGCCCAAACCTTATTTGTAACGCACTGGCATTCCGTTGATTCAGATACTGCCATTTGTTGGTGTTGCAACAGCACCTGCTCACAAAAGTAAGCTAAGCACAGCAAGTTAATGACCTGACACGTTCACAAATGACATCAAGTTTCCCTCAAGGTGGCCGCTGCCTCTCCTCTTGCCCTCCATTATCTCCTGATTATCCAGGTGGGAGTGAAAGACAAAAAATGTCCAACCTGCTCTGCTCTCACCCCCCAACGGGCCTCCCAGAGTGCTTTTCTGCTGACATCACTGCACAGAGACCTGGCAAGCCAATCTCTCCCCTGCTCTACCATTCCCCTCTCCCTGCTTCCTGCCCTGATGATGTCACACACCATATGGTTTTCAGCAGAATCGAGCCGGAAAAGAGATTTAGTCAGCGAAGAGGAGAAGGAGAGAAAAGGAGGAGGGTTGGAATGGGGCGCAGGTCGGACACAGAAAACAAAAGGTTCGCTCTACCCCTTGTGTGTACTGAGTGGAAGGTAGAGAGGGAGGGGGGGTGAAGGGGAGAGGGGGAATGGCTGCACTGTGTGAGGCTAATGAGGAGAGACCAGGGAGCAGAGACCATGCATCGGACAGCCATGTGCTGCACAGACGCCCGTTGGACTGGCCTACAAACATACGCAGAGACACATTTAATATACTCACACTGTAATGCAAGTGTAAGCAGGGTTAAGATAACAAGGCCCTCCTGGTAAATAAGGTTATAGTGTGCATTTCGTCTGCGTCTCTTATTCTAAATCAATAAATAACTCTGAGGTAAATAATTACTTCAATGTTGTTGCAGGTATTTGAGCAGCTCAAAATGTTGTCCGGCTACAATCAATATTTTTACATTAACACTGATTACTACTTGTTTGTGAAAGGGCTTGCTGGCAGTGATAATCCAACAGAGATCTATCACACAACTCTGCACTTCCTCAGCTTTAAGAAGTGTTTTAGCATCTTTCATCTCATTGTTTGGCTTTTCTGGCAGCAACGTTACGGCTTTGGCTCGGTCTTACTGCTCTCACCACCAGCTACATTTTTGAACACAGCAAGAAGTTGTTTTCAGCACAAAAGCTCTACAGACCAACTGTTGCCTACCTGCTCAGCACCAAACACTACACAGATAAGAGTTAATGACTATCTTGTGAACGCACTGGAGCGTTTAGCAGCTAATGAGCAGATTTCCCTGAGGAGGAGAGAGAAAATTGGACTTAAGATAAGATAACCCTTTATTGATCCCAGGAGGAACAATCTGGTGTTTAGGCAACAGAAATTAGAAGAGATAAACAGAGTAGTAAATAAAGAGATACAAGACTAGTATAAAAGAGCTATCCAAGAATTAACTGTACACGAGCAGTTCAAAACAAAGTTATGAGGTAAGTGACAAAGTTACAAGGAAAGTTACATTTAGGCCAGGAGGACAAAAACACAACTCCAGTTGCCTTATCAGCTTAAAATGTGTCATCCAGTGCAGTGTTTACTAACAGAAACAGCAGTCCTTATTCCTCTGTTTTGAAAAGTCAAACTTTTTATTTCACCTCAGCTTGAAATATGACCTTATATTTCATCTTTGCACAATTTATTAATAATTTATTTAAATATTGTACTCATTGTTAGTTTAAAGTAACAGTTCAACAGTTTAAGAAAAAAGGATATTTTGCTTGAGTGAGATAAGAAGATCAACACTATTTCCATATCTGAAATATAATATAAAGCTAGAGCGAACAGGCAATTAGCCTAGCTTATCATCGTCCATAGAAAATCTTAAATGTAGACTACTTATTTGAGGTTTAGAAGAGAGAGCGCAGCAAAGCTAGGTGTTTACTGTTGCACTGTCCACTTAGATAGAGAAAGTGATCCTCTCATCCAACTGTTGTCAATAAGAGTGTTTTTCCCCAAAAAAAGAACTATTCAAATTATATATTTACTTGTTTTGAAAAGGAGATGTCTTTTTTGTTAGTATTCTTTTTAATATAATTAATATGTATTTTGTTCAATAATTGCTTGGCTAGTTAAAGGTGGGGTAGGTCATTTTGGAGAAACCAGCTCGAGTGCGCTAGAATTTGAAAATACACAGCCGGAAAAAATCTGCCACTTCCTTACAGAGCCCCTCCTCCAACACACATGAACGCGCACATGACCAATGAGGGCACGAGATAAGTTTGTGCACAGATGGAAGGCTGACAGGCAGGTAGGCCATCCAGTTATTTCAACCGAGCCGGCTAAAATGATTGGTCGTGCTTTTTACAGTACTACGGCTTCCACAGATGACATTTTTTTATGGATTTTTTGTCAAAGCACTTAAGATGTTCATTGCTATCGGGATGTTAAGAGCATTCCATGGAATATAACAAAAAGTGTATCTCGAGCCGGTTTCTCAAACTTACCTACCCCACCTTTAAATGTCACATACACAGGAACTAGAAACAAACCTCTACCACCCTGCTGAGGGTAAGATGTATTTAGCATCAAATTGAGGGAATAAAACCAGACATGGTACGAGCGTGCGCAAAGCCAGAAATAATTTAGGATTTAAAGCTTACTTTTCATCTGTACACTTTTCAGTTTTTAAAATAGAGTATTTCTGATTTGGCATGATAATTGCTCATCACCAGCAGATGGGCGAACTAGAATAGCGACCAAACAGCTCTGCTCAATCCAATGACATGGCTTGCACGCCTGTCCTCTAAAGCTGTCGCAAACCTGCTCATTACAATGAATTAAGAGAGGTCTGTGTGTAAATGTTGAGCCTACCGTTCAATTTTTGGTGGTGGAGGGAGTCTGAAGCTGGAGGGGGTGTGTCTGGTATGGTGGGGTGGTCACAGCAAGCATCTGGAGATATGTGTGGCCATGTCCACTGGAAAGAAAGAAACAAAGAAAGATGATTTATGAAAAGGAGAGAAAGAAGAGGGAGCAAAAGGTCTTGAGTGAGGAGTTTAGCAAAGTGTTGGACATTACAGTCCGATGGTCTGTTTCGAGGTGTTAGATTTACTTTCAGACTGTCCTGTCTATTGTCTAGCCTCGCTCTATCCCTGTGCTGGCGGGCAGAATGCAGCAGTAATAAGGCCATTGCAATAGTCTTCACTCATAACCTAAATTGAAACGAGGTGGTTTGGGCCTTGGAGACATGGTGACCCTGCAGCATATCTGCACACAGATGTTTGAAAAAGTTGGCCACAGTCATTCAGTATTCACCTCCTTATTGTGTTTCCATATCCAAACCACAAAGCCCTTGCAAGATATATATCACATGTAAAACCTGCAAGGCTCACACTTGGAGAAATGGTGGGAAAGGTGTGTGATTTAGAGGGTGACAGCAGACTGTAAAGGGATTTAGCTGTCCGGCCTGCCTTATCTGCAGCTCTGGTTCCTCACTGAGGGTTGCTCTTTGGGGATGTGCAGTCTTTGGGATGGGCTCCCCGGGCTGTGTTTGGGGCTCAGCTCACAGCTTTAATTGAATCATTGCTTACAACCAGCAACTTGGAGGCTTTTTCAGTTCATTAGAAGTTCAGTGTTTCAGGTTTGCTGCACTCCACATTACAGTATGTTAAATTGTGTTTGGACAGGCTGAAGTTTAATGACAAACGCAGGCCTCCGGGGATTGATTGATTTGTGAGATAAAATTTGTGTGGGAAGACAACAGCTGGCTGAGACACACAAATAATCTTAAATTAAGTAGTTAACTCGTGTGATACACAAGTGTCTGGTTCTGTCAATCAAAATGACCAACAATTATTGGCTGTAACTCCTTCTTTCATGTTGTTATGGAGGTCTGAAAAACCTGTGGCAAGTGTATTTAATGTTTATGAAAATGTCTTGTTCTCAAAAGCTAAGCATAGACCCCTGACCCCTCTGAAGTCAGAACGCTGTGTGACAAATTTACTTAAATAAAGGCATTTTGTTACACACATTTTTATTAGTTATGTAGAGACTGCAGCCATCGCCAATATGCCAAGAATTTCACAAATATTACTGATTAGCTGGACTGTAATGAGTTGTCATCTTAAAACAATGCATTTTGTAACAGAAATGTTCAGTCTGCTTGTGCTTGCATTCATCATATATCTTGAATGCAATAATTCACACAACATTTCGTCCATTTAAACACATTGCTGGTTCTTTAAAAGAAAATGTTAAATGCATTAATATTTGAAGCCAATGAGATAGAAACACCTGGCTAATACTAACAATAATAACAATTATCAGATACATAAACACAGAAATGCAGTTTTTTGGCAAAGGGCTGCAGGGGTTGAATAACACAACAAGCCATAATTATACTTTTTAAAGTTATACAATTTAAAAACAGAAAGAAAAGCAAGATATAAAAGACAGAACCACCTGACATCACTATGTGTTTCCTTAAGTGGAAAAAACTATTTTGGACTATGAATCGAAACACGCTGTCACATCCTTGATAGATCTATTCTCTGCACAGCTCTGCCTACCTCTCTCTGGGAGGTTATCAACAGTTCATCATGGGAACATGGAAGTGAAAGACAATACCTTACTGCACTGCGACAGGCTCTTGGGGTATCTCGCATCACTTCAATGAAACATCAGCACCTTGAACTTGGATCATTTCGGGAGGAAGAGACGCATGCGTTACGAGATTGTCAGCTGCTGTTGTGATCAAAACAAAAATAAAGAGGGTTCAGTCTGGTTTGTGTTTAAATGGATCACATTGGCTGTGTATTAACGGCCACAGTAATTGTGAAATAAGTAGTTTCATCAATTTCAATCTGCGGTCTTTCAAACACATCAGTATGGCAATGGAAAGACTTAAAGAGATAATAACACACAGGCCTGTCTGACATGATCTGTTCAGATACAGTAGATTAAATCATTCAAATGTACTTTTTAGAGACACTTAAGCCAGTTAGCCCCAGTACACAGATTCATTATTTTTATCATATGAACTCAAATAATCCAGCCTTAAGTGATGTTTACGACAAAGAAAAAGTGTTCAAATCAATTGCACTCAAACTCTACAATATTAAAACAAACTCTGACAGCAATAGTTACTTTCAACTAACAATTCTACACATAAAACACCATCACTAAATCATGCAGTGTATACAAAAGTCAAAGTCAACCGAGCTTGGCCAATATTACAATACATCCTCCACCCTGAACCTTTTTAATTTCCCCCCCAAAAAAGCCCAGCCTGTCCTCCATGGAGAGGCCGATGGGACCGGCTCGTGCCATTGGGTGTCGCTGTGCGCGCGGACTCTCCACCGGCAGGTTTGGTCCGAGCGGACCACAACACAGTGAGAAGTGTCAGATAGTGTTGTTAACACGTGAGATACTCAGTGAAGGGAAGAGTGTTAAAGAAGGGGAAAACCGGGAGACACAAGGCTCCAAAATAACGCGGAAGAGAGTTTTTGAGAGAGAGCCGGAACTGAAGGAAAGCTTCGTTGGTCCTAATGAGAGAATGCCGAAAAGGAGAGCAGACACACGGCCAGAGCACCAGACATGAGTCCGAGGTAAGACACGGCATTCATGCAGACGTGTGACACGGTTTCATTGAGCTGATTTTAAGTGCACTAATATGAGTTTATCCATGGTTGATTTGACTAAATGTCTTTTCGTTTCGATTTGATGGTCCTGATGTAGCCTTCAGTATACAGACACAGCTTGAGCATCTGGATCATGGGCACGTCCGGCCTAAAGATCATCTTACAGTCACTTCGGTTTCAATAGAAATGAGTATTTTTCAGTTCTTAATCTTGACATATGCACATTAAACCATCAAAGACGCTCGATGTCATTTGAAGATAACTTTTAGCCTTATATGTGTCGTAAAGTACATATATTTAAAAAAATATTGTAGCTACCTATACATTTAATATAAAATGTTTGAATATTTTATTTTGACACTGCACACGATGACTGTATGGCTTAACTTCAGAACATTGAAAATACTACAATTGGAAAACAGCTGCGTTTTTATTATCTATCAATCAGAATATTTCGACATCTATTCATTTTGGGGAAAAGCTAAACACTTGAAATGTTTTAGGTAGAAAGGCACGTTATTTAAATATGAAAATAAGCCCTAATGGCCTCGTGTTGCAAGTTTTTGGGTTGATTTACCTGTTTGTCAAAGAAACTGTCAGATATGTTGTCCACTGCAATAAGCATGTCCAGTCCTGTCATAGCAGGTGTTTTACCCTCTATGGTTTACCTGAGAGAGAGAGAGAGAGAGAGAGAGAGAGAGAGAGAGAGAGAGAGAGAGAGAGAGAGAGAGAGAGAGAGAGAGAGAGAGAGAGAGAGAGAGAGAGAGAGAGAGGGGGGGGGGGTGGGGAGACAGGGAGAGAGTGTGTGTGTTTTAAAATGTTCAAGTGGTTTATCAAACCCCCTTTTAAATAATTGTGCTCTTTTAGTGAAGCCAGGGGGGCTATTTAAAAGCTCCTTATCTTCTCAGGGGAGGTCTTCAGGGAGGGAGACAACTTGATTGAATAACTTTATTGATTTAACCTAAGTAAAAGGTGTACAATTAAAGAATGCCTGCTTACATTGTAACCCCCTCCTTCCCAAATTACACCCAAAAAAGCAAACACGAACTGAATTTGGTTAGCGTCAGATAAAATAAAATAAGACTGTCTTTGACATGAAAACATTTAACACATCTTGGTGTAATCAGTAAAATCACAGTGTTAATCGTATTTCCAAAGTTGGAGTGCGCTGACTGGTCATAAATGCAACATACACAATGGCTGCCTGTCTCTTTAAGACGATGTGTTGAGAAGTTCAAGTCGGGGTCACTTAAAGTTCCTGCCCTCGATTTTACCTTTAAGTTTTATTATAGACTGACATCACACGGGGCGCTAAAACGCTTAAGGCGCATAGAGGCTCCATTATCATCCCGGTGCGCGTTATTGCTCCGACTCAAAAATAGCTAAGGAAATTACTAGCAAAAAAAGGAGGAAACTGATGCTGGTATAAGCACGTATTTTTATAGGAGGGGATGAGAAAAAGGGGAGAGGAGGGGCAGCAGAGACACACAGAAAGAGGGAGAGGGAGGAAAGTGGGTGGGAGGACGGACCTAAGGAGCGACAAGAAATTCATATCAATTAATAATCATAAAAAAAGAGCTGGCAGACGCGCTCGGAAAACTGGCATGGTTTTTTGGAGGCTGGCAGTTCAAAGCTGAAACGTCAGATATGACTCCTAGAGACTGCTGAGATGATCATTAAGGGAGACTTAGATCGGATGGCAGAAGACATCGGGCATGCAGGTAAGAACAGATACGATGCACACACGCAGGCACCCAAACAAGAAAGGGGCTATAGGACATTTAGGATTGTATTCATAAAACTGTGGACCGCATGCTGGCAGCGAAGAAATGTGTTTCTTATTTAAACGTTGTACAATACGAGTATTTTAAACAATGCGGTATCTGCTTTTTATGTCAGTGGTTAATAATTGTGATAACGACAAGCAAGGCCATGCTACTCCTTTTTTTACTTTCATTTTATTTGAGCCGGTTGGGAAACGAGCAATTCTTTCTTCAAATGATAAAGTATCCATATATCTTTTTTTTAAAGTCAGTAAATGTGTAAAATCATTCCGGATAAGTCACATAGATCATATCGTGTCTCAGAAATTTGAAAACATTATGCAAAAAGTTTCGATTAGCCTACAAACTAACAGAAGTCTGTGTCATTGAAATAAAAACTGATTTTTCTTTTTTTTAAAACAAATGAAATGCTTTTTAGTTTTGAACTCAGCTTGAATGCAAAAGTTAAAGGGAACATCGACGAGTGTTTAAAGGGAACTTCAGCTTCTTCGGTTATCCCAATAATACATTTAAAAAGTAAGCAACAGTGAAATCATAATTAATGTCGAAATTAAAACAAACCAATCACTGTGTAATAATGTTACCACTGAGATCAGGCGAAACACGCACCAAATTATATTATGTGAACACTTTTGTTTTCTGGTGTCTTTTGTAAAAGCCGAGATGTTAATACGCGTATTAGAGAGAAGCTGCTCAGTGATGTTGACAGCAGCTGTCTGATGCACCTTGAAATACAATGAGCTGAAAACAGGTCTGTTTCTGAGGTGATTTAAGACTCGCAGATACAGTGGAGGTTTGAAGAATGAGGCGCTGCAGCTCAGAGAGATGGATTCACTCGTGATTCTGTTTACTGTGTACAATATGTGTAGACTAAAGAGTAAAACAGATTAGAAGACGCGTCCTCTCTGCGACACACAGTCAGCAGACAACTTAATGCTTTGCTTGCAAAACGGGACGTAAGGTACTCAGATGTGAGGCAATGAAATCTTCTCCACAGGCGAAAACACGTGCATAACCTATAGGCTACCGTAAATATAATGTACTTTTAACAATTATAAATTCAAAACAAGTTCATTAAAATGGAATTACCTGATGTAAAACCTGCACGTAATCAAATGATTGTTAATCCAAAAAACGTGCAATGTATCCCGTTAATTCCCTACCTAAATGTCATTAATATGATTATACGTGACCTGTTGCTTAAAAAAACGACTAAGTTCTGATCAGGGATAGGACACTGTCATGCTTCCGACTGTTTTATAATTTTATTTTTATTTTTTAGATTTGCCTAAAATTTGCTTTAATTATCCGTGATATTTGCTAACCTGACTAATACTCAATTTATTTACCCATCATGCTGTTTTGTCTAACTTTTAACTCCTTCAATTTGCCTGCATGTTTGCCTCTTGTGAATGACTAATTTAATTAATTAAAGTAAATAAGACAGTTAACATCTTTAAAAAAAATAAAACTGATCTTGTATTGCTGTGTTTCTTCATAAAATTAATGTGAACGGTATATGAACAGGATTAAATGCAGGGTTGTAATACAAGGCGATGAGCATGCAGTCAGCAATTATATTGAAAGACAATAAAGTGTCAAAACAATGTTTTAAGCAGATGTCTGGAGTGTTTATGCACTGAAGCTGCATGTAGAGGTATAGGAAGTTTAGTCTCGCTTCACTCAAAACCACAAAAGTGACATAACAGACAAAACACAGGTACAATAAATATGAATCTAATGCAAATAACTGAATAACCTCATCGTCATAAATGACATCCCCATCATGTAAGTTTCCTTAGCATGTAGATGGGTCATTATCAGATGGAAACAGCTCATAAGGATTCAAGTAATGTGCAACCTAGAAAAATGATTCAGTTTAGCCTGTTTAACAAACAACCTGTAGTTTATGATTTTAATTTGTGTTTCCAAGAACATTGCATGCAGGCTTGTCCTGAGATGCTTTTCTGACTTATATCATTGCAATCAGATGGCTTCCGAACAGGATGCTGTGAGCTTACTCTTGCCCTAACGATCAAGAGTTTTATACAACATGTGTTACTCTGATCTTTCACTTTTCTGTCAGTAAGCTACATCAAATAGTGAGCTCAGAAATTTAAAAAAGCACATTTTATCTTCTCAAAAGACTCTGATCATAATGACAGAAAAGAGACTCTTATTGTCTTGATGGGAAACCCACAGAAACCCTGACTGTTGTTACCACAAGATATTAACAAAAATATTTTTTTCTATGCACATTGCAGGCGCACAGAAATGTTGCTCGGTGCATGAGACCTTCCTTGTGTCATAAAAAGGTTTTAAAAATGTGGATATATGAAATGTGTATTTAAATGTCTTATACTCTTTAATAGAAAAATGTGTAAGAAGGCCTAATTTTTCTGATGTGCTTTATGATGCAATAGATCTGTGTCGCATGATATGGCGCTGTAGACCGCATAGAGACGAGTGTACACTGATTGTGTGTGTGTTAGTACACAACGTGTCACCACGCAGAATAACCAGCAACAGTAAGCTAAACACCCCTTAGTGCAATGGCGACTGCAAAAGTTCAGCACGCTCTTGAAAGTACTTGGCCTATTCCTCATATCACCCTCACTTGTAAACATGTTTGATCTGACCGACGCTGAAATTTATAGTAAAATATGACCGTTGAGTAATCAAAGCCAGACAGAAACCAGAAGTGGAAACACTTTAGATGACAACTGGGAACATGATGGAGCGTAAACCCACCTAAACCTGTCTTACTCGCCTTTTATTAATAGCCTTTATTGTTCTTTAAAAAAATAATAGATAACAAACTCTTTTCAAGTCATGGATTTAGATGTTTAGATTTAAGAAAAAATATATTCATATTTTTTTCTTTCATTTTAATAACTGGTTTATCAAGGATCACTTTTTCTTCTTATGTTATAGGACTAACGCTTAACATGAATTTAAGAAAAGAGAGGGGAATTGTACTAAGAAGTGACCTTGAGTTTAAGACGTGTACAGTTTTATCAGAAGGGCATTGTAAGAGAAACTACCTTTTTTTTGTTCAGTATTCTCCAGAATCAGTTACTAACTCATGCGTCAAGGTTTATTTTATTTAAATACCTACTTCCCTATTCTGTATTTAGCGTGTACACTGAATGAAATAAACAAGAAGAGAATGAGCTGATGACAGGAAGACCATGATCAGACGGATGACATGATATTTATTTAGTCGCTTGTTTCCCATCAGTGAGACTAAGCCCTTAGGGACAGTTTGAGACGTGTAATGTCATAAGTAAACTATCCTCAGATGCCACTGATTGAACAATACACGGTGCGGTGTCTCATGCATTCAGCTGATGTAGTTTATTTTAGACTCGATGGAACAATTAGTGTTGATATTAGAGTGTATATGATTGGGTGTGTGCATATGTGTGTGTATGCATTAGACTCCTAGAGGCCATCTCAATGTAAAATATTGAACCAAGTAAAGTTGATTCACATACCATGCGCTCGGTGTTCCTTATATGACTGGGCAGAAAGGAGAACGAGAGACCAATCTTTTTTTGGATGTGTCTGTTCCCTACAGGTTTTTATACCTGCTGTTCATCATACTTGTGAAACATTCATCCCTTGTTTTGTTTAAAACTCTGCGCACCACTTTTGGAAAACTTTCAGCAAGCCAGCTAGTTACAGTACAAAATATTTATCTGGTGTTCTCTCAATTTTGTTCTTTCTTTCTTTTTGCTCGCTGCAGAGGAAGTGAATGCATATTCTTAAATTTCTGATAATGAGAAAACCATTGCAGCAGTTCACCTTTTGCAAAAGTTCACTTCTACTAAGTGGCCTTCGTATGCACTTCCCTTGTATGAGTTCTGCACTCTGCAAGTTCCAACATATGGAATTAATGAATTAAACATCACTATGTAAACTGTACATTATTAATATAAATGTGCAGTGATGTGTTTTTAAAATAAACGTTATAAATGAATTCATCTATTTTATTCCTCATGAATGTATGTGTATGCAAAAGAACATTTTGCTCCTATAATCGACTTAATGACTTTAGTTTTTTTATGTCAATCAAAACCTTTGGCACTCAAACCTCTCAAATATTTTTTATGTGCAATTATGTTATTTGATGTGTAAATAATAATTTCCAAAGATTACATTTTCTAAAGTGCAACAATAATCATTCAAATTAATCAAGAAAATGACATTAAAAAGTTGTTGTGTTTGAAAATGCTGACTGCCGCATGATGTTTTACAGATATCTGTTGTTGCAGGTGGCGGACTGAAGACGATGCTGGATGCCATGGATGTTCCAAGTCATGCTAGGGATCTCCTCCTGCAGCTCAACAGCCAACGAACCAAAGGCTTCCTGTGCGATGTTATCATTGTGGTGCAGAACGCCCTCTTCAGAGCTCACAAGAACATTCTGGCTGCCAGCAGCCTCTACTTGAAATCTTTGGTGGTCCATGACAATCTGATCAACCTCGACCACGAGATGGTGAGTCCAGGGGTCTTCAGGGTCATTCTGGACTACATCTACACAGGCCGCCTTAGTGAGGGAGACCCCACTTCTCCTACTGAACCCAATCTAGGTGCTGTGTTGGCAGCAGCCAGCTACCTCCAGCTGCTTGACCTAGTGGCTTTGTGCAAAAAGAAGCTGAAAAGAAATGGCAAGTACCCTCCCCGGCCTGGGCCTGCATTTCTGCCTTACCCAAAGATGGGCCCCAACAGTATGGGTTTAGGGAGTGGTGGCAGGTATAGGATTTCCACTCCTGTCATTCAGTCCTGCCCTCCAGGAGGAATTTTGAATATCCATGCAACGCGGGCATCACCACCAGAAGAGCTAGTTCCCCATCGGATAGCCATTCATGCTGGGGAGCTGTATGCTCCAACCTCCATCCAAGGCTCTCAGGTGTTCCCGTCCCTGCAGTCAGTTCTGCCTGCCCAGCTGGGGCGCTCAGCCCACCCTAGAAGGAACTGCTCCCCAAACCACGGCCTTGATCTCTCCAAGAAGAGCCCCAACTCCCAGTCTCAGCACACACCCTCTCAATCCCATTTGGCAAATTCTCACAATGATGAGGAGCGAGACGGGAACCTGAGCGGTCGCACCAGTCCCATGCAGGGGACAAACGGAAGGGCTTTCCCCTCAGAAAAAATGGATTCAACTGACCAGGCAAGCTCTCTTACTCCTCCACCATTCCCCCATATCAACCAGGCTCTGGGCCCCCACCTCCCCCACCTGCATCGCCACCAGGGCCGGGATCGCTACCCATGCCCCCCCAGCCCTGATACCCCAACAGAAGGCGGAGAAGCAGGCAGAGATATGGGCAACATCTACCGCTGGGTGAAACATGAGCCACTTTCATACACAGCAGAAGATGAAGATGAGGATGAGGATGAAGAGGAAGGGGGCGAAAATGGAGACCGGCATCATAACCATCACAAGGCCGGGGAGGAGAGTGAAGGAGCCGACGATAAGAGCGGGTCAGGCACAGAGGAGACGGGCAGTAGTGAAGGCCGCCCCTCGCCTTCTGGACCAATGGGGAGGTTCCACATGCCATATGAGCCAGAGAGCTTTGGGGACAATCTGTACGTCTGCATTCCCTGTGACAAAGGCTTCCCGAGCTCAGAGCAGCTCAATGCACACGTGGAGACACACACGGAAGAGGAGCAGTACTGCAACTCAGGTGGGGAGATGGGAAACGGCAATAACGGCCCCAAAAACATGAGCAGTAATACAAACGGTTATGGGGGCCTGAACAGCAGCAACAGCCTCTCCCACCTGGAGTCCAAATCCAGCCAAGCGCTGAGTTCAGGGGGGATCGGGGAAATGATGCGACCCTACCGCTGTTCCTCCTGTGAGAAGTCCTACAAAGATCCAGCCACTTTGCGGCAGCACGAAAAGACCCACTGGCTGACCCGGCCTTACCCCTGCAGCATCTGCGGGAAGAAGTTTACGCAGCGCGGCACCATGACGCGCCACATGCGTAGCCACCTGGGCCTTAAACCTTTTGCCTGTGACTCCTGTGGGATGCGCTTCACCCGCCAGTATCGCCTCACCGAGCACATGCGCATCCACTCAGGGGAAAAGCCCTACGCATGTCAGGTGTGCGGAGGAAAGTTTGCTCAGCAGCGCAACCTCATCAGCCACAGCAAGATGCACAGCAGCGGGGGGAGTGCAGGGGGCCTGACCACAGATGGGAAACTGAAGCTGGACTTTGCTGAGGGCATCTATCCACTGAGTAAATATGCAGCAGAGCATTTGGGCCTGAAGCAGGAGAAGGCCAATGAGCTCCTAATCCAAGCCCAGCAGCAACTGGTAGCTGATGCAAAGGTCATGGAGAGCCTCTACCCGCTGTCCAAACTGGCCGCAGAGCACCTCGGTATCCCCCTCGACAAGATGGATGTCATGGGCCAACCCCTCCTCTCTGATAGCCGCATCATTGACCGTTACTCACCCAGCTAAAAGCACATGACCTGTATAAACAGCAGTCACCAATAGGTCTGTGTGCACACACAATTGCAGTATTCTAAAGCCTTTCACCTCAACTCCATATCTCCTCTGCACCTCAGACTCAGGCTGAGAGGAATTGGTCTGCTCATGCACACCAAAAAGTGTAGACTGTAAGTGCCTTTCTATGCATCTAATGTATCTTAAAATCCTCCTTCATAAGGGAGCTCTGTGCTATTCCGTGACCAAGAGACACTTATTCAAAGAAGTACAGTATTTATGTACAGTGTATGCAAACAAACATTTCAGTCATTGAGCCAAAGTGACAATTTGAAAACCAAAATGAAATTGTTTTATTTATTTTTGTATCATGATGAAATCCAAAGAGAAACTTTTGCAAGGAAGTGTTGCAATATGACCCTAAACCTGTGTAATATTTAGTATCACCTGTGTACAAAAAAAAGGAAAAAGCACATAAGGACAAGATTCAGTGTTTTGGTCCAGACCAGAGCAGAACTTTTGCCAAATGAATAAGCCAACTCATGTGGACTTTAAAGTAATGGGAGCATATATGTTTTTCTTTTCTTCTTCTGTTTTTGGGGCGACTGGACAATTTATGTATTTCACTCTCCAGCTTATCCAAATCATGTTCCTGCCCCTAAAGTCACGAGGAAATGACTGAACGATAAGAGCAGTTGCCTCAGCATTTTAGTAAAGTCTCATCAGTTTTATTTTCTCCACTTTTTTATAAAGTAACCCGCTCTCCCACATATCTTTGTGGATTAAGACTCATACTATGTGACAGTAATGGTAGCTTAATCAGCACTCAGTGGCCTACAGCTAAAACTTCCTTTGTATTTTGCCTCACATCCCTTAGCTTTCAGTTGTTGTTGAGATGCAGTAAGCTCAGCCCTGTGATCTCATAACTCGGACATGATTGCACATACCCAACTGCTGACACATAAGTGCCTGTGAAGAGTGTAGCTGCATCTCATGGTGTAGACTAAGCATGGGTGTTGCCTCTGACATTTACAATTATGGATGCAGCAAAGCAGAGAAGCAGGGACCAGGTCAAAATTAACGGCACTGAAATCTGTCATTAACTGTCAAAAGCAATTATTCCATTCACAGCAGCCTGATGACAAACTGCGTAGCGACACAAGTCACATGTCGCATTGCTGCTCCACTCTCTGTAGTCTGAGGCCGGGAGCCCAGCTACTGTTGACAGGCCAAAGTGAGTGCTGCACTCAGCCCTGTGCCTTAAAAGTGTTCTGATCCGCTCACCACACGCCTCTTCCACACTCACACAGCGAGCTGCTAATCTGTCTGTGATACGAACATAAGAAGGGGTTTGTGGGTCTTCCCTGGAAGCCAGCGGGTGAACAGCACAGCCCAGCTGCTGTGCCTCAGTAATCCCCTTGAAATCTCACTTTCTCCTGGACAATTCCCACTGCTTGTCAGCATGATGTCCCATTTCATGCCTGCCATCTTGCCCCTCTGATCCACTTATCAACATCATATTTAAGCCCAGCTAATGTCTAAAGGCCTCGCCTCCTCCACGCTGGTCTTTTTTTATACATATTTCAGTATTGCCTGACCAGCGATAACTCCGTCTTGAAAACAAAAAGCACTTAAAGGTTGTGGGTTGCCGGCACATTTATAAAAAAATATGTTTATTCCAAAGAACATTCTGGCATTTTCTTTTTCCATTTGTACTACTCCTTGATTTAGATTAGACATGTCTGACCACTATAGTGCCAATGCCAACCTCAGTGGGTGAATGTGAAGACTAAAGCCATAAATACACTGTGATTGATGTAGTGAATTTTAAAGGCTAAAAGAAAACAGACAATTTGCCTGACCTTTGGATTTTTTTTTTTTTTTTTTTAAATGTAATTATAATTTAAGGGCTTCTTCTCTGTAGCATATCAAAATGTTGTTTTCTGTCACTTACTTTTCTTTATTTGATTTGAGCTGAAAGCAGCGCACGTGAAACTGGTGCTTACCTCAGGACTGAACCCAGCATGGGGACGCAAAGCTTTTCTAAACCTTCAAATTACAATGTTAACACACACACACACACACACACACACACACACACACACACACACACACACACACACACACACACACACACACACACACACACACACACACACACACACACACACACACACACACACACACACACACACACACACACACACACACACGCACACGCACGCACACACAAACACAAATGCACACCCTTTTTTTCTTCTTATTAACAGGGCAGTTGTCCTGTGTTAAACCTGTGGTTATTTCTGTGTTTATACATTTCTTGTTACAGTTTTATGATGGGGAGATAACATGCGATATTAACAATTTTTTGTTTTTATTTTTACTATGCGGTATACATTTTCTATTGTGTTTCCTCAAAGAGGCTTGTGCCGATCTGACCAATTCCATTGTAATAACATAAGGCAAAGTCAGTTTGGCAGTTTGTTTAACTTTGTGATTTTCTGAACCACACTTAAGAGAGCAAGGTGGTATTTGTCTTTGTTTTCAACCACACACACAAGTATATGTGATAAGTGTTTTGAAAAGTATCAAATAGAGATGTAAGCAGTTATTTTACAGGGCGGGTATGAACACTAGCCACATTATTTGACCCCTTTCCTCCAGAGGTTAGTGAACAGTCAATGATGAGTGAGACTGAGGTTATACATGTACAAAAACAAACAGGAAGCCAGCTTGTTTTCTATGATCCTTCAAGTTCTGGGACTCTTTTGTTTAGCTCTGTACCTAAAACCAGAATGTAGAGCTTTAATGAAACATTATTCAAAATGAGAACTTGCTTCACAAGCATGTGCAAACGTGTGAAACATTTAGAAAGAGGCGGATGTCTGTCGTGGGAATTTCAGTCCCTTCAGTCTTTCTCATTCACTAGCTTAAATGAAAATCTGTCTCCTCCTTCTCCCTGCCTTACACCATTAAAATAACACAATGTGTTTCCACTGTCACTCCAAATCTGTGCAGGAGGGAAGAGCGAGATAATGGCTGAACATTTCTGTAGGACGGGCAAGGTTTGAAATTTGCTTAATTGCATTTACGTGTACGACAGACAGAGGTGGAGGCTATGTTTCTATAGAAAGGGGAAGCGTTTGCTTGTCTGTTTGTATGTCCCTATGCCATCGGTGCGTATGAAGGTCTGTTAATGCATGTCCTGGGAATAGGGTTGGTGTAAAGGAGAAAAGCTGAGGAGCAGGAAGTGAACTTTTGGCTGGCGTGTTGTGTTGAGGAGGATGTGCCGTGTGTTTCTGCTCAGAGGCAGATAGAGAGACGGAGAATGGGGCGGGAGAGGAGCAGGGAGAGCGCAGCAGGGTGGACGCGAGCCATTGTCTCAGTATGAAAGCCTGTTCGTACTTCTAAAACTCTCCATTCAGAAAACAAGAAGACTGTATCTTCTCTTTTCCTTCCCTTTCTGCTCTTTGGGAATAGACCTCTGCTCAGTATCTCGGTGATACAACATTGTGTTCTTTTAAGGGCGAGGAAGCCATTCAGACATTCTGTTACACTTTGAGGATGTCGTGGATAAAATAGTTTGGCATAATTTTGTGCACATCAATTCCTTACAATATATTTTCCATTATATGTCGATAACATTTTTTATTGGGGCTGGAATATTCAAGGCAAAATGCAAGGCAAAACAACTGGGTTGTAAATCAGATATAAAAAAAACAAGAAGTAATTGTATTGCTCTGTGGTTGATTCAATTAGTAATTACAGCAATTACAAAAGTCTTGTTTCAATTTACTCATGTAGCCACTCACCCTTTGGGTTTTAATGCCATACGCCTTTGTTAATGTTATTTAGATGACACATCAAAACTGCTCTTTGTCACTAAAATGAGATGAAGATGTTTTGAAAGTAATATAATTATGCATTTAAAACAATTTATTTGTTATGTCAATTGATATAATAAAAATAAATGAATGCAAATACAAATGCGTGTAAAAGACAAACCACCAACTATGACATGTGGGTTGATCATTTAATTGTAATATTAAGGCAACCATCCCAGCCCCTTAAATGTTATGATACTAACAATAAAACAGTAAGAAAATGTCTGCATGATTTCTAGTGGCCCTGTAAAGACCAAAAACGGTTTAAGGTTTAATGCTAAATGCAAAGTGTGCCTTTAAGCTTTCTAGCAGCAAGCAGGCCGAGGTCACCTATGTGAGTCAGACAGGATGAAAAGTCCTGATCTGCAATCATACCGCCATTTGACATTTACTGTATTCTATAATATCTGCCAAAAGGGCTGACGCACATAGCAGACATCGCAGATGCTCAAAACAAAACTCAGCGTCAATCTTTGTAGTTTCCACGGGTTGCACTGTAGAGCTAAGCTTCTGACCACTTTTGCCTTTATTGAAAGCCATTATATATATGGCTAATCTTCAGAGCACAGTTCACACATGCCACTATTGTCCAGTGTACATATTTCTTTTTATGAGGACTCATGTATAAATGTAAGCTAGAGCCAAATAATATCAATAATCAAGCTGTATATTGATGTTGAAACCAAAAACATGTGCCTTCAGGATAACAAGCATTGATTATTCCGCAATAACTTGCTATGTGTATAACTTACGCCTGTGTGTGTAAGTGCGTAGCTGCGTGTGTCCACGTAGTGCACCTGTCCATCTACATGTCTGAACGCCTTTCCCACAGTAGAGCAGGGTGTAGCGCAAGAGAAAGCTTTGACACTTTCAAGAGTCTTTGTTACAAGCAGCTGCTTTAGATTTATTTCCCCAAACTGCACTTTTCTGGAAAAATCATTGTATTGTGATTTTTTATTACTCTTGTGATCCCCTAGAAGTCCCACAATTGCCTTTCTTCTGGCACTTTGCTTTCCTCCTCTTCCTCCCTCCAGTGCAGAGCTTGGCCACACTTGTTCACCGCCCTTGTTACCTAGAGGCACTGCTCCCCTCCTCACCTCTCCCTGTCCCTTCTCTCTTCTTACACTCAACACAAACCGCTGACCCCTTCCTCTTCCATGATCCACTTACTTCCAGCTGTTTTTCATGCTGAAGAAGACAGTTGTCTAAATGTTTACATGAAGAGCTACTCTCTTTTTCTTTAGGCCCTGATCAATTTCCAAAATGAACTTTGTGGCATGTGTTAAAATACAGCAGATGATGGGCCAAATAAAAAGAGCCTGACATCGTTGTTGTATTCTGAACCTCTAGCCAAGAAACGGCTTACAAAAGGGAGATTAAAGACAGCATATCATCGTAGAGGAAATGCAGAATAATGTGAGGGGAAATGTTCAGGGAAAATATGCTCAGAAAGATGCCAGTAAAGTAAACATGTATGAAATTGCACAATTGAGCCGGGCTTTGGCTGCACCAGCCAAGTCGTGCACTGAGATGGAGAGAACAAGTAAGGGAGAGAGGTTGAGAAGAAAAGAAGCAGAAACAGAGAGAAAATAGCTTGTGCTTGATAGTCATAATAACCTTGAGTTAATAACAAAGAAAAGTTGGTTGCTCTTCTAACGTTTTCCCCCCTCATTTTTTTCTGTTTTTACTCTATTTCATTTCCCTCTTTAAGGAAATTGTCTTGTGAGGAAATTAAGTTTTCTTTTCCTTTTTGTTATTGATTGCTTCGGGCCATTGTCAAGGGTTTTAAATGTTAATGTGCATGTCATGTCATCCTTTTTCCAGACCTAACAATTGTCACCCAATCAGCACATGACCCACAGAAGGCTCTTTGTAGACGAATAGGG